AACTGCACTGATTTAAGTCCACACGTACACACCTTTAAGCATTCTCGGCACCACACCCTAATTTGCATATATTCAGACAAGCGAAATATTTTCTATCACTAACGCCCTCTAATGTCTAGATGACCTTGAAAATAGGAAAACAAATAAAATAAGAACAAATTTCCCATTTTACTCTGACAGGTGCACATCAAATCCATCATAATGTTAAGTCGGTCAGAAATGAAAGCTGATAATATAATTTTCTAAATTCATGGCGAAATTACAAGTGCTTCGGAATTTGAATGATTTCCCAGGTTATTGCATGTTTTATGGTTTGTCAATTAAGATACATTGGATAATTATGAAGAATAACGTGAGAAGACGCATCTCCCTACTCGGTTTTTCAGCTTTCTTTATATTTTGTATACCAAGTAAGCCCCCTAACCCCAAACATGCCAAATAATTGGACTCACCCTTCGCCGCTAATTTGCATATAATGGATTTGAATGAACTTTGACATTCAAGTGGAACATCTGTAGGAAATTATGAGCAGGAAATAGGACATAGTGGAATAAAGGGAATTTCCAATTTCTGTTCCTTTTCTAGGCAAACATTGAATTGACAATTATTGAAGGAAGTGAACAAGAGGAAAGGGTGAAAATTTACGGTTTTATCTGAAAACATTAAAAAGGGATAATTTTTAAAGATGTGGTCATCTTTTTGAAATAGGCTTTTATGAGTTATCAGGTGTTGGAAATGAAACCAAGCCCCATCTTTGAAAGAGTCGAGATTTAAATTGAACGTATATTCACTTGACTTAATACCAATCTAAAATATATTCAGAGAGATAGGAAAGTGAAAATAATGATTTGTTTCCTTTAAAAAAAAGGTACTATAGAATAATGTAGCCAAAGTTTTGCGCATGTGAAAATGTACACCTCTGCTTGTTAGTTGTGTATTAACGGTAGCATTTAATACACTTTCAGTGAATTGCGGGGTGTTCTGGAAATAATTGAAAACTGTTTACTATTTAAGGCATTCAATACTTTCTACATGATTTATGATTGTGTTGTCAAAGATTAATTTTATCCTAATGATCCTACAAACCACTGAACAATTCCCGAACATGTCGAATGTAGGACCAAATACAAGTGCTCTTTATTTTTCCTAATAAGTAGCGTTAGAGGACTATTTAAAATGGGAGAGGGGTAGGGGCGGTCTGACCATTATGCCGACAAGATAGCCGATGATTTTCAAACAAAGAAATTTCATCATTTTATTGTGGGGGGGGGGGGGGGGTATTTGTCCACAGATAATAATAATAATAAAGATAACATAATAATAGTAATAATAATAACATAAATTGTGGTAATAATAATTGGATTTATATAGCGTCTTTTCCAAAGGACACAAGGCGCTGTCCCTTAGTCTATTAACAAATAAAAGAATCGATCGCTTAATCGTAGAGGTATCTTTTTCTACGTTTTTGAAGAAGTCAAGTGAAGTACTCTTTTTTAGGAATGCAGGGAGTTTATTCCGTAGGCATGGGACAACGGATTGAAGCCAGCCTGACATCATTATGACATGTATCTCGATCCAAGTAGCCTCTGATACAGTATATATTACACATGTGCCTGTTTAGGGTCCGACATAAGGAGGTAACATGCTCAGACATTTTCATTTCCCTATTTTCTACACCCACTCACATTGACTCAATCTATATATTAAATAAACTATGCAGGAAAACAGAAATACAATGGTTAAACACAAGTCATATCTGCTTGTATCCTACATTACAAATACTAGAGATGAGCATGGTCTGTACGTGTTAAGGTATAGCAACCTGATCTGTTGCTACAGTGACAGGAAACCAACTTTTATAAAGGAAGGAAATGTGCCAGGGTAAGAAGCGGTCGGTCGACCTTTCAATATTCTTTTTTTAACAAACATTTACAATTTATATCGGTGAAAAAAATTGAGAAGAATGTAGTTATATATAATTACACACATTGTGAAATACGTCAGTGACAGTTTTACTTTTAGTTAAGGCCTCCCATAAAAGATATGCCAATTACAGCGGCAGTGTATAAATGTGTACGCAGGTATTTCAAGTTTATATGAAGTTTATCTAAAATAATCATATATTTATATTAAAAGAAGTTGTATCACGAAATTGATGAGTACTAATAGGTTAAAATTAGCTAGACCTCTTGAGGGGGGGGGGGGGGGGCCTCTGCCAAATGTACGTTTTGTATCCTATAGAGTATGGAAGTGCCCCGGGAAGTGCTAAAGTCATATTCGCCCGTCATCCAGGTTACTGTTTCTAAGCAACAGAGCCTGCGGATGAAGTTCACCGCGAAATCATTCAAGCAACCGGGTGGAGCAGGCCAAATACAGTGATTGGCACTCGTGTGATCACCACGCCAAAAAATATCACAAAATTGTTTGGAACCAACAACCTTGACAAGTTGGTCAGGATGACGTCACATTTCGGTACTCCATTATTATTTGTTTAATGTTTAATGTTTAATTATCTTCGTCCTTGTACTTTAATCAAGAAAGATGGGTGTGTGTGTTCGCCCTCTGCATCTCAGTAGGCCAGATGGCACACACGGGCCGCTAAAATGGTAAAATAAACCTAAAAAGGTGTTTTATTTCACATTTTATAGGTACTATGTCCCATTTGCAGGTCAAACAAATTGAAAAGATTACATTCCAACGGTATTTTAAAGAAAATAATAATTTAGAATTCCCCTAAAAAAGGGGGATTGAAAAAGAATGTCTTTAAGTGGGAAATAACGAATATTAGTTGTAGAATCGACTTAACCCTAAAAAGGCCTGGCTATTTGAGGTCTTAATTAGTACGGCCGAAGGGGGGCATTATGGGCCCCCATAAGATCTCGGCCGTGAAGCGGCTGATCTCCGCGAAAATTTGCACGCATGTCAAGTGAAGTGTATAGAATACTATGATATTTTCAATTTATTTTTTGAAAAATTCACTTATTTGCATATTTATGGTAATTTATGCAAATAAGGTCATACAAATCACATTTTTACCCATAAATCATATATTATTCATATTTAAGCATTTTTTTTTCACTACATATATTCATTAGACAATTCTGAATAATAATTTTAATGTTATCTTTTGTTTTGATAATTTCTTATGTATTTCATTGTTTTTTTAACTTATGTATTTTATTGTTTTTGTTGTTTTATTTCATTTCTAACTACAATTCAACTATTTTGACTCCCAAAACAACCACCAAAACTTTAAATAAGACCCAATAACCCATGTTTGATCTATTTTTAGCCAAAATGACTTTTCCATATGTTTTGTACACAAATCACGAAAATGAGCGATTTTCGGGCTGACATGCAAAGACAAAAGGTCACGTGACCTATAGCAATACAGTAAGTAATAGTCTGACCATTGTACCGAATGGTTGTACGTTTTGTGCTGCGCAAAGATTCAATCAATTTAATGTTGGCCTTTACAAGAAGAGGGTTATTGATATTTATTTATTTCTTCCACAATGTGGAAATATGCTTCCCACCAGCATTACAATAATACAAGAAACAGAGTACAATAATATGAAACATGCGATACAATTAAGCAAACGATTTCAAAACAGAAAAAAAAATCGTCCTTTCACAAAATAATTTTTACGACATCCAAAATTGTAAAACTTCTTTTCTGATTAGATTAAAAATATCTCTCTACTGCTTTTAACGGGCTATTCAATATAATCCTCATTGATGTATTAAGCTTTATGTGAACAAATTATAAATTCAAATAATTATGATCATTATTGCTATTGTTATTATTATTCAACGCCATCATTGTCCGTCAAAATGGATAGATAACTGCATTTATATCATTGTGGTCGTATTTAAATCACATATCCATGTATGTGTACTAACAGTAGTGGGTAATAGTGGGGAACTGAAATGCTGAACTGCTATCGTTTATTATCTCTTTACGAATTGGTTGAACATGTGAATAGAGTTTGGTACGATGGATTGGCGGAAGCGTGCTCGGTTTTTGTGCGCGGGACGTTTAGTCGAATTCCAGAACGGTTGAAAGAAACATTACATCAATACATTGATGTAAACAAATGCTCATGTACCCTGTATAGCTCATTTATGTATGTTATTACTAAAGAAGAAAAAAAGCCGCTAAAACTGCTAACGTTTAAATTTCACAGACAGGACATACTTGACATATTCACAATTCCTGCTAAGTTCTACAGAATTTGATGTTGGCTCCAAAAGGGACATAGTATCTTTAAGCTGGATATGAATAGGTAACACTCAAACTGCGATATGAATAATAATCTAGAAGTATTTTTGGAAATGTTCCGCCTCCTCTTAATACATGGCGATTTATATGTACATGAGTAAGTCTCTGTAATTTCAGAACATTTCTTGTCTTCTAACACATTTATTAAGAACCCCATGTCCAAGCAGTGTTTAACAAGTTTTTTCTGTTTTCATGTTGTTGTTGTTGTTGTTGTTGTTGTTGTTGTTGTTTTTTGGGGTGTTTTTTTTTTGGGGGGGGGGGGGTGTCTTGAATATTCATTTTAATAACAGATTCAGACTAGCTACTATTTAACTTCTCATTTAGCTCAGGACCAATCGCGATTGCTGTTGAAGATGACTCCCCTTATTCAGGACTGGAAGCCTATATTCTGGGCTACGTAGTCCACTGAGATGTGCATGCTATTAAATCTATTATTGACTTTTTTTTGTTTTGTTTAGGTGACATAGTAGACCTGACATTAGTGACCAATCACCCCCTCCTGGATCCTCCCAACACACGTGATCAATATATCGGCGCCTACCTAGGTCAGAAAGATGCAAGCATCAGAGACAGTATTACGTTTGATCGAATTATCCGGACCGGCGATACTACATATCTCCCAGACTATAGCGACACAGTTAATGAAGGTCAACGTATAAGAAAGCTAATCTTCCAACAGTCTAATCAAACCAGGGCATTAGGAGCATTCTACGCAGCTTTCGAATATGAAGGAATCACACGTACTTCTTCAACTGTTGTCTTGATGCCCAATGGTGAGTATAAATATTTGTGAAATCCGTCCAGTTTTGGGCCACTGGAGGTAATGTAACTTTTTTTTTACTGGGTCTGCAGTCGGTCTTTTATATGTCTCGTTGGACCTTTTTCAGAAAAAAAAAATAACACAGGGACTGTCATATCCTAGCCAGGATATGGAATAAATGTAATTCAACACAAGTATTACGAGTCTCTTAGTCTTTATTGTATCCTTCCCGCTCCTGCTTGACGACCATGTAACATGCCGTATTTGACCTCCTGACCTTGCAACATGCGATGCATTACATTATCTCTCGATCACATTGTTTACATCGATATCGATATCAAGTCTAATCGAACATCATGACAGGGACCTGATTTATTTACCTCTGGACGTTCCCTATTATTTTGAAACATACAACGAGTTGCACCAGTCTAAAGGAAAACACATTCTCTAAAACTGGAAATAATTTTGAGAAGATCTTTGAACTTTTAAAATGAACACGAGATGCATTTTCTGAGCATTTTTTCCTTGTTTCCTGACTTCATGTAATATGGTCTTCCATGTCTTAAGGTAGCCTCGTTAATTGTGATATTGTTTTTCCCGATGACCTGCAATCATACCCTCCCCCCACACTTCAGCCGGACAACCATGGTAAGGGCGAGAAGCATAGAAGGATTTATTACCACCGGTCCGGATTAATACCCATTTGTTTCATAGTGGGGATAGTGGCTAATGTAGATAAATGTCTTGCCAAAGGAAAATATTTCCGTTACAGAGATTCGAATCCGTACCATGTACTTAATAATCGCCAAATGTACATGTAAGTCTATACATACATTCAAAATAAAACTCGAGCGTATATCTGCATAATGTATGAAGAAAGACCCCATTCATATGCTTACAAATTGGTAGGCCTATTCAGATCAAACAGTCTTTCACTGACTTCAGAATTTGCCCATACAATAAATAACTTTTTTAAGAAAAGATTTTCCCCAAAGCTGCCTTTGCACTTCATGACCACCTTTTGTACTGGGTACTGGCATATTACTCCTCTTTACTTTACAGCGACAATCTTGCCTGAACAGACAACGTTGACTGTCCATGAGGGGGAAGATGTTACACTCGATGTTGTCACCAATGTAGATGACTTCCGGTGGCGGTTTAATGGAGATGTTGTACCGGACAGTAGAAGAAAGCAGAGTCTACCCTTGGCGAACGTGAGGCTAAACCAAGCTGGGGTATATAAGTGTTTTTTAGTTGGAAAACGATGGGATGCAGGAAATGCAATACTCCTTCTTCATGTCGTCAGTAAGTTGGCAGCGTACTATCCGTACATGTATATAAAGCATCTTTATATACAAACATCGTTGAAATTGCTTATAATTCTATATTATTGTTGCCAGCAAAATATCGGTGAAATGAATGCTAAACACGTTACAAATGTATCTATGTTCTGTGGATTTCTGTCATGCTTTAAAGCCCCACTGCGCTACTTATAGCCACTTGCGCCCTTAATACCTGTATAGCAAACAATGCATAGTCGGTGACCGTTGGTCCCCATGGTACCATTTTTCTTATGTTAATTGAGAGCTGATTTGATGAGATAACCATCTTTGAGTGACAATGCAGGGAGGTCTAATCCCCCAGGCCAAACTAGTGCCGATAAGTTTCAATACGCCTGTTCCCAAACTGACATGGCATTTTCCCCTTTACGTACTTTATTAAATTGTGCAGTAATATCAACTTCTTGAAAATTGAATATTGACAATGGTTATATATTTTGTTATTGTGTTAGGGGGGGGGGTGTATAGATAGAAAGTTAGAATGCAGGCGTGTCAATGCATATTCGCATATCGGTTATCTACTTCTTATATTGTTTGATGCTGGATTCTTATACATTTTGAAATACTAATACTGTTTACTTCAAACAGGATGCCCAGCTTATCGTTGGGGATCTGAATGTGAACATACCTGTACTGAGTGTCTCAATGGAGGCAAGTGCGATGCAGACTCAGGAGAGTGTGTATGTCCTCCTGGTTTCAAAGGGACAACATGTGAACACGGTAGGTTTTTACACTTGTATGTGTCCTCTGCACGTCGAGACACTGGCATAGACATACTTGTTGAGCAAAGTGGGGGCGAGGGGGGGGGGGGGGGGGCAAACGAACGGACACAACAAAACAAACAGTCACATACTTACAAATACACACACATACACACACACACACACGCGTACATGCACGAACACACTCATAAAGAGTATAAGTTCCATGGATGACCCTTTTTTCAAAGTGGATGAATTTATCCCCCACACCCACATACACACCCTGACTACCCATATGCCTCGACACCAAGCTACCGAAGCAAAATGTCGAGGTATATAATTTTTTAGTTTACACATTTTATTTGTACACATGCCAAACTATTTTTTTGTCTTGGATTCAGCTCAATATTTGTTTGATGTGAATGAAAACAATGATTTCATGTAAAATACATGCTTGAAATAAGGTTCAATCTGTAATACTCTTTATACGCATAGTGATGAACATAACACCATCATCTTTCATTAATCAGATTCAATCGATGAAACCCTTGGTTAAGAAAACTGCATTGTTTCATCGGCAAGTTCGTACATTTTGATCGTTCAATACCTAAAACTCTTTTCAATAAAGCTATCACTCGAATCAGAATCAAATCAACTCAATGTCGATATAATAATACTAGAAACTTTATGGTGAGAGCATTTGTATCATTATCTCTTTATCCTCAGTCCTGGGCAGCAACCGGTTTGGGCAGGATGGCAGCTTTTCTTGTGATACCTTAGGAGATGATCACAGTCCAGGGTGTCGGGGGAAACTCTTCTGCCTACCAGACCCCTTTGGATGCACCTGTGCAGCAGGATTCATGGGAATCAATTGTACAACAGGTACTTATAATCATGTAAATCAAATTCTGGAATCATTCCTGAGCGAATATGTATACTATAAGAGACCTCCAAAATACATAATCTTAAAGGAAAATTTGATATAACATACGTGTGTAAATATGGATTACTCATAAGTGTACATGTACATGTATACTACAACAGTTCTTCACATGTCTATTCCAACATATAATTTTATATTTCTTGAAAGACGTTTTTACACTCCAACGCTTGAAATATTAGATATTCTCTGGCGTAAGTGAAGTGAACGAGAAAAGAGATGAAAGAAACAAAATCAACCTTGTCGCAGCTTTCATTATTAGCGCCGGCAAAATTAAATACGAAAGATATGAGTGACGAAGAAGGTATATTTATATTTGTAGTAATGAATGGGCTAAACCATACGATTCTCGAGCCCGAAAAAGAGTCTGCCCCATGTGTGACCTTGCATCTCGTGTGATGAGAAGAAGTATTTGTCTACATAGAAATGCTTTTCAAAGGACAATTAGTCTTCTTGTCAAGTACATACTAAGGCGTTTAGAGGGACCTTGATTATGATATTTCTCATGGTTCGAAACCTGAACTAACATAAGCCTAGGAAGGCGCGTACACAGGGGGGAGGGGGGGGGGGGTTAAACCCCCTCCCCTTGACTTTTTTTTATGTGTATGTTTTTGGGGAAACCCCCCCCCCCTTTTGAGTTTGTTTTTTGTTTTTTGGGGAAAAAAAGGGGAAAATCCTTATAGATGACCTAAAAAAAAATGTCCTCTTACCCCCCCCCCCCCCCACTTATTCAGCGGTTGGCTGAATCGTTGCGATTTTTTGGGACCCCCTCCAAAAAAAATGTCCTCTTACCCCCCCCCCCCCCCCGGTTATACAGCGGCTGGCTGAGTCGTTGCGAAATTTTTGGCCCGATTTTAAACCCCCCCCCCCCCCCTTGAAAAAATCCTGCGTACGCCACTGAGCCTAGGTATATCCTGAATAGATCAATTAAAGAGTAATGTTATGCGTGCGTGTCAAGGAACATGGTAACATGATAATAACATGGACTAGATTCCTCTTTGAGGATAAAAGAAATTCCATAATGGAATATACTCTGCCATTCGATCCTCAGTCGTATTATCTTTTAACAAGTGGTGCTTGGGCTGAAAGTGAAGGTGTTTTAGTTTTCATTATTCTGTCATCTCGTAAAGGAACAAAAATAATTATATTCTTTTTCCAGGGACATCAATTCCTTCATCCGTCTTTCGAAAAGACGCACACAGTTAAACAAGCGAAAAATAGTGGCACTTTTGTAATCGTCAACATTTTTGTACATGTATTCTACATATGAGGAAGAGCTGGAAAGCCATGGAATATTTAAGTAACCATTAATGATCAACCACGTAGCCCTTTAAAATGATGCTCGATATAAAGAGGAAGGAAAACTGAACTGGCGAAATTCCACATTATGAAGGATGATTCTTCCTTATCCCACTTTATAGCTAGGAGCTACACACATTTGTCCAATGTATACAGCAATGTGCTAGCCAAATCATGTTAGGGCAAAATGATGCATTACTAAAACAACATGCATGTGCACAATTCCTTCGCATTAAAACCCACGTTAAAAATAATTGTTAACGAGCTTAATATATTTATCATTAGAAAGATATATCTAAACGTTCTAATGCACTTGTGAGCGGGAGCTAATTGACAACAAAAAAACGAATTAGCAGAACCAAATCTACCAAGCATTCAAAACGCACCCTTGATACCTCATTGACCAATTTATTTAAATACAGGCTTTACTACTTCAGCCAGAAGGGATTAGACCGCCCAGCGAGCCAGCGAGGTCACTGTGACAGGTGGCTATCTCATTAACTCATCTCTCATTTAACATAAGAAAAGGAGGATCATGGGGGACCAACAGGCACCGATTTTCTATATAGAGGGACCAAGTAGCTACAAGTAGGACAGTGTGCCTTTAAGCTTTGTTTGATTCATCTCGAAATTTAATATAAAGGCCACAATTATATCGATGTACCTTGGGTTCTTGGGCCTGCCCCTCGACGTGCGTATCCGGACACCTACCCCCTGCACATTCAGCCCCGGATAACCACCCCAGTCAACTACTCCCTAGGACAACTACCCCCTAGGGAAACCACCCTCTAGGATGACTACCCCGGGACAAGTACCCCGGACAACGATCCCCAGACAACTACCCCCTAGACAACTACCCGCTAGGACAACTACCCCCTGAATCACTGCCCCCGGATAACCACCCCTAGGATAGTTGTCCAGGGGTAGTTGTCCTAGAGGATAGTTGTCGTAGGGGTTAGTTGTCTAGGGGTAGTTGCCCGGGGGTAGTTGGTCTAGGGGGTAGTTTTTTCCGGGGTATTCGTCCTAGAGGGTGGTTACCCTAGGGATGGTTACCCTAGGGGTAGTTATTCAAGGGGGTAGATATCCTAGGAGGTAGTTGACTGGGGGTTGTTATCCGGGGTGGGTGTCCAGTGTGTAGGTGTCCTAGAACCCTCAATGTGAAATATTGATGATTAAAAAACACATTAGGCCTACTTCCTAATGCTGTTTCTTGTCTTCTATTATCTTATCAATCCCCATGACTTTTTTAAAGAATGTAACCCAGGAACGTATGGAGCCAATTGTTTGCAAGAGTGCCACTGCTCTTCAACTAACATATGTACCAAGGATACAGGAGAATGTAACGATAGGACTGCGTGTCAAGACGGCTGGACTGGTGTCAACTGTCAAGGTGATTTATTTTTCAAACAGTCAGTTTTCATAATAAGGTTGATTTTTATTTTGATATATTTTATTTTATTTTATTTATTTATTTATTCACGGTAAAAACCCAGTTCAGCTGTTAAGCTGTTTTACAGTGGGGCCGTATATAATAATATCATAGAATAAACACATCGCGATTGAAGAGCCGAAATCCATTTCGTCCTCAATTATTTCTTGCTTGTTGAGTTGAACAATGGAATTCGTTCTCTAATCCATGCAGATTTTAATATCGATCTAAGTAAATTGTGTCATTTATATCAAACATGAACGTTAGCAGTTTCTCTTAAGTTTAACTATGTACATTCAGTATATACTTTAGGCTTGTATAAATAACGATCTGATTGTCTTGTGAATAATTATATATGTTAATGCAAATGCAATCGAAGCGTTTTTGGTGATAGATATATAGATCGGAATGGTGCTAAAGAGTTTAGTTATTTTGCTTGTACGATCATACAGTCTGCACTCGTGTCTTGATATTTAGTCGTAGCTACACTTGTAGTTAAACCTTTGAGAGCCGGATATTTAGTATTAAGATTAAGATTTCCGCACATCAATTGTTAGACAAAATGGAAGTACTTTTATGATATTATCAAGTACGTGCTCTTCAGTTTAAAGCTATATTCTTAAAAGCATCGTATTTTGAACAGTTATTGTTTTTTCCAAAGTGGTAAATTTGAACCTTGTCAGATGTGTTAGTTGGACAAGAGGACGAGTGTTTTTGTCTAAAATACCTGATAATTCCCTTGTTTGTTATCGTTTCCCTTTCTTCTTACAGTTCGAAGTTCCCCCATTCAGGACGTTGACGATGATACACGTAAGCTCACATGGGTTCATAGTTCAACATAAGAATAAATAAATAAATAATATTAATTATTATTTTAAAAATACCACTACTACTTATACCACTACTATTCTACCACAACAACTACTACTACGTCTACTTATAGTAATTTTAATAGTATAAATCATAGGCAGCTGTACTGCGCCATCTATTTAGAACTTCTATTCAGAGGAGCAAAAGGAGAAATAGATAAGAACAAGAGTCTTAATAACAGAGGCCGTGTGCTTATACTGAGTTCTGCGTTTAATATACAGAGATGTGAAGTTTATTACACTTAAAGTCATCATAACAACAACAAAACTACTTCAGTTTACCGCTAAATATCTAAACGAGTTATGTAGAAAAACATGAGAGGCGTTACCATCTCTGCTGTGATAGAAAGAGATTGATACGTTTTCAAGGGGACATAAAAATAGACTAAAAATATAACTGTCCTGCAAAACTGCTACTGGCCATTATTGGATCAGAATAACTAGATTTCTATGATTATGTTATTTAAACATGTATATGCTTGTGTGGGTAAAGAGAATGTGCGTGCGTGCGTAAGGCGTAAAATCAGGTATTTATAAAATGTTTCCTCTTCTCCTCATCTACATATTCAGCGATTCCCGGTACAAAATCGACAAGTTCTGGTACCACTTCTTCAATCATCCCCACCTTTGAAACCACTCCTGTTATAACTGAAGCTACTACTAGTGCTACCACTCCTGCTCCCACTACCGTCCCCCCTCAGCCGATTCCGTCTTCTGCCATAGAGAGCTTCTTCTACACCAAGGTTAACAATGGCGAACTTACAACATTGGTTTGTATCGTGACAGGATCACCTCCACCGACCTCTGAAAACATCAGCGTCACCTATGCAGCCGGTGCACATGAAGGGATTGTCTTTCTGGAGACCAATGTCACTGAATCAACCAGGACATCCCGATACCAGGTTAGCGTGAGTCTCGGTGAGGCACCTCGGAATTTCATGTGTCTTTTGCGCAGACCGGACGGGGAAAGTGTCTCGAAAGATCTGGCTGTCTCTGTTTATGGTAAGTAATTCTGAACCATAACAGCATACCTGTTTTTTGGCTACGATTTGCTGACAAGAGCAATAGCGTCCTGTGTAAACATTAATTGTTAATGCGAAAGGAATTAAAAATGCCTAGTACATCTCCATGTACGTCACAAACAATGAATACAAATAATTAACACAAGTTGTCACTTTTTTATATTGCCTTTTCTGTCTTTAAAATGGTTTCCATGTGTTATTATGAAAGATTTGTATATCGAGGTATAATAGTCGATTAGTTGAAGGTTTTTTTAAACCGCATATGCAATGGCCATGGAATCGATCGAGGGCACATCAACGACTTAAAGCGAAACATGACTTTAACCACTCCGTACCCATTGAAGAAAGAAATCTGGACCTAGTGAAATGACAAATGACTTTGTCACCACTATTGGAAAAATGTTACACCATGCTCACGCTCACTATTGTCTGGAATGTTTTTCCGGGGAGTAGATATGGTGCACATATTGTGTCCATCAATGGATCAGACATTCAGTGACACTATACATCACAATATGTATTATGGATGAACTTGAAAGTTGGTACCTCCATAGTAAAAGCATCTCACGTTTTGATATACCATGTTCATACAAAATATCAGAAACATTATTCATTCCTTCTCAGCTCGTGTGGAACACTTGCATGCATTAACAACACAGCACGACTTCAATCGGACCTGCATACATTTATCTGTTGCATTTTGTCGTTATTGTGTTTTGGTACATTAAATGAAGACAATGTCTAGATGTTGATGCGAGGTGTGATGTAGGGGATTGAGATAAAATATATGTGAGTAATAACGTTTAATTTAACAAACATTATTAACTACTTTTCTCAGAATATGAAGTCTTAAAATTGTGATAGCTTTATAGAACCTTTTTTTAAAATTCAATATACGTTCTATATATCAGAACCTCTAACCTTTGATGAAGCTAACATACTCGTCCAAGACACGACTTCTCACTCGATCACCATAACATGGACACCTTCGAATGAGAATAATGATCATGGTGATGGGCCAGTGATTGGATATCGAGTCTACTACACCACACACGGACAGGATGACACAGCCAGGGCTTCAAGCGATCTCATCAGAGATACAACTTTCACCATCACTAATTTGACACGGGACACAGAGTATGATTTCAGAGTGACTGCTTCTAGAGAGGGGCCATCGGGAGAGGGGACATTCAGCTCAGTAGAAAGAGCTAGGACAAAGTGTACTGGTAAGTAGACTTTAATCATGCCAACTAATAAAGGGTGGATCATCAAAATCATTTTAACGGTCGCAGTAGGGATGGAGTTCACTCGTTGACGTCGCTCGCATTTTTCAATCATGACCTTATTAACGCCTTATAGCATAAGATTGAAATTACGGGCAATTATAAAATTGAAATTGTGGGAGGGTAAAGCACATTAAATGAAAGGAATGTATCTAATGTCATCAATTGTGTAAAAATAATAACAAAAGCATTCAACCAAGCGGATTCCAAATATGTTCGGCCGTTGTCATTTCTCGGGAGAAATAAATCCTGAACTACTACACAATAATTGTGTTAACTGTTTGCATTTGTTATCATATTGGATAACAGAGACCCTTTGTAAACAATAAATATATATATATATACATATATGAATGCGCTATATGCACCTACCAATTGACGATTGACATTCGAGCGACAATTTGTATATTGTTATTTGGCAATAGTATCGGCAATTAAGCTGAAGAGTAATAAATAAATGGAAATAAAGCGGCAACATTATCATAAATAATGATAAATATGATAAAAGTAATAGAACACTTTATTGGATATTATGATTCCATTTTTGTTTAACCATTCGGACCTTAATTGAGGTTCCAATGAACTTGATCTATTACATATGATTTTTGTTAAAGGTTCTCAATTGTTAAGTTTCTCACTCTCAAATATTGAGCTGGTAAATATGGACTGAATGTAGTGAATTCACCCTAAAAAGAATTATCTAGACAGCGCAATATATATTGTAAATGACGTGAATATTGTATCGTAATTTTTATGTCTGGGGACCCCACTGAAAATAAGCTCTCGAGCTTTCGTGGGTTATTCTGTTCAAGCTGACTTAATTTGTATCTGTTATTCTTGTATAATGTTGTATGTTGGAATTTTGGCGAATAAAAATCAATCAATCAATCATATTGACCAGCAACTGAATTACAAACATGAAACTTATATGTCTTCGTTTTCGTTTCAATAATATTCCAGTCCCTTCTGAGGCGCCTGTGTTGTCTGTGAGCAATAATGGTCGAACATTCATCACTTTGGATTGGAAGGTGAGCGTAAATTATTTAAACGCACAGAATTTCAAGCAAAAACACATTTCAGTTCAACTTATATTACATCAATACTTAAAACTTACTTAGTTTGAAAATGAATAGAAAAGTGTTACAATTTCTGTACGAGCGCTTATAAACGAACGCAAATACTGCAACTTACAATACATAGAGATTCAAATTTACAGTGCACTCGAAGTGTTGCTTTTAAAACAAAGTTTGGACATAGCGCTTCGTATGTTTACTCCTTATATTAAGAAAAATAAAACATCTTCAATGAAGATTTGTCCGGAGTATATTGAAAATCTAAGGTTTGACGGTAAATGTGGTAAACTTACATTTGGCCAATTTGTAAAAAAAATGGCGCACTCTTCCAAATTGTTTATGTTTATATTACTAACAGGTAATACCAGAGGAATCATGGGGATGCAGTGCCCTTTCTGGATTAGAAATCAATGTTAGCACCGATGGACAAAATGGCTTGCCTCGAACCTTGTCATTTGATACTACTGCGGATACTGCTATCATTGGACAGCTTGAGGATTGTACTACGTATAACATCAACGCAGCATTTAGAAACAAAGACGAGTTGGGGATCTCTTCAGAAATGTTGTCAGTGAGCACGTCTTTGATACGTAAGAATATTTATTTTCTTATTTATTTCTTGCGTTGAGTTGTACAATGATAACGCTTGGGCTGAAATACATTTACAATACCTTATATTGGCTTATTCGTTATGACAAGTGTGTTTTCTACTCCTTCTTTATCCTTGACAGATGATAGAAGATTTACCAGAATTGTTGTTTATTCATCTTTATTCAGGAAGGTATACATATAACATAATAATAAAGATGTGACATAAAACCCAGGACAGAGATTTGTATTACATTAAATGCATCTCATGCAGGGTTGAACAATTACAATACACAAAAACAAAACGGAAAAGAGAACATCATAACGTCAGTGTTTTAAATGAAAACATTAATAATTCCTAACAAAATAACAAAAACAAAAATAATTATTACTTTCTTAGTTAGCAATGCCTCATAATACATTTACATACGGTGGTCATATCTATCAATCTTCTTAATGAGTAATCAACCACGGGAACCTATCTCCATAGAGAGAGAGAGAGAGAGAGAGAGAGTTGAAGAGGGGGAGAGAGCGAAAGAGAGAGAGAGAGAGAGAGAAGGAGAGAGAGAGAGAGAGAGAGAGAGATAAAGAGGGAGGTCCCGTTATACCAAGTTATATACGTATCCTAATTTAAAGTAATTACACCGCCAAGTGTTGTAGTGATTCCAAGTGAGTTCAGATAGGCTGTAAAAAACAATATAAACCCACAGAATATACTTTTGAAATATTACTTTTCCCAATTACATAATTATGCCACACCTTACATTTAGGTACCGTCATCATATCTGTCAATATAGTAGCATGCGTAATCACACCACGAGAACCTGTCCCCATAGAGAGAGGGGGGGGGAAGAGAGAGAGAGAGAGAGAGAGAGAGGGGAAGAGAGAGAAAGAAAGAAAGAGGGAAAGGAAGAGAGAGAGAGAAAGAGGGAGAGGGAGAGAAAGAGGCCTCGCTATTGCAAGTCATACAAATTAGTTAAACCACTTACACTCCCAAGTAATGTTGTGATTGCCAGGTGCGTTCCGACCGGCTGTGAAAAATAACATACGACCCAAACAGTACGGTTTTCAAGATTTCATTTCTCAGTTGTGGATACCTTACTTTGCATTTACATGTTTTCAACATATCTATAAGTCTTTTCTTGTTGTCAGGAGTTATCAAACCTCGGGAACCTATCTCTATACTATAGAAAGACTATATCACTACGCTTAAAGTGAAATGTATATCATTGAATCATGTTGTAACTTTTAAGAAAATAGGAACTTTCAGGAGTCAAATATGGTCTAAATGCCATCAACATTCGTACGTTTAACGACCTTCAATTTTTTTCTTAAAATGTTCTTTCAATTTGCAAATTGCAAGTTCCGTTTACCTGTATATCTCAAATTTATTTCCAGTACCCGCAAGTGTAGGAGTCCTACACATGTCAAATTCAACCACACAAATTGAAGTAAGCTGGGCACTATCATCTGGTCTATGCTCCCCTGACTACTATATCATACGCTACAGTCTCTATCAGAAGCTTGCCTGCCAATCACTAGAAACCACCTCATCAGAGTTTGAAGTGAACACCAACGTCACACAATACAATAATCTAGTGGGGTTGGAGCCTTACTCGCGATACAAGATCACAGTTATAGCTGTAAATGGTGCCGGGCAGAGTGAACCCACGATTGGCTATTTAGATACCAGCCCGGGACGTGAGTAATGAACTATAATAAGCAAAATATCCTTTCCCCATAACAGTTTCAAGAAAACAATGTACAAGGTGATATATTTTGTTATCCTAGTTGTAATAATGACCATTAGATTTCTCTTAATTCAGAAAGGAGGCGCGATAGCTTAGTTGGTAGAGCAGTGGTCTCGTAATCCGATGACCCGAGTTCGAAACCAAGTCGATGCGCTAGTGCCCTTTGGTAAGGCATTAATACTCATTACCAGGTCCCTCGGAGAGGACCTAAAGCCGGCGGCCGTCTGGTTGCTTACTTACAAGCAGTTATGCTTTCTTAGCAGTCAGCTACGCGCTACGTGAAATTAAAAAAAAAAAAACTTTTGAAAATATAACTCCCTTCGATAGTCCAAATTTGTTATATTATACACCCTACCAGTCAATATCTGCATTATATTCCCTTCATATACCGTACGCATCGGTGCTAAAATATAATGTTCAAGACTTATGCTTTATGCAAATTATGAATGGTACAGTTAGGTGGCGATATATATTCCTTCAACCTTCACACTAGCCTTATACGTAAGAACATAACACGTCAAGTTTTAACGGATTTAGGTACGTTCTCTTATATCTCTGCTTCACTTCAGCACCGTCCAACATTACAAATGTCAGGGTCTCCAACACGATTAGGATTCACATGGCAACCTCTCAACTGTAGAAATGTGAATGGAGTGTTCTGTTACTACTATCCCATAATCTACAAGGATGGTGATAGAAGTAATACACCGGCTGGAACATACTTGGATAATGACCTTTCATACTCATCAACAGAGTTCAATGGTCTTGAGGCATGTACGATGTATGAACTGAGTATCAATGCCGTCAACCTAGATGTGTCAACTCCCGGAAATCTGTCTCATGCTATCGGTGTAACAGGAGTTACTTGTAAGTGTCAAATAGTACAAATACCATAAATGTTAGAATCACCTTCATGATGTCAAATTGAATTTCCACATATTCTTATTAATATATGAATTTCGTTCTAAAACTGCATTTTAAAAATAATATTTGTGGGAGAGATCCACATGACTATAGTGATACCAAGGTTTCCTTATCAATATATGTCCATATACACGTACAATATTATATTTCACATTCGAGGATCATGTCTTTGAGACATTTAAGGATTTTCAGGTAGGGATTAATATATTTTTCCCCGTTGAAAAAGTTTCGTTTTTTATAATTTTACATTTTCTTTCAATCTCAGTCATTAAGTTTTATTGGCAAAACAATTTTATATATAAGCATTTTACCTGTTACCTAGGAATTTTTATAAAGAATTTTTCAAACTTGAAAACGATAGTAATGGGGGCAGAGAGTCTTAACTGAATATGTAAACCCTTTCTTTTCAATATTTAGTTATGTCGTGTAATAATGATAATTCATTGTGGTTCAGAAATGGACCCTGTGTTGATAACAGCAAAAAAAGGTAACAGTTATAATAAGCGGAAATTGATCAAGATAAAAATGATTAGAAAATATAAACAGATAACTCTTCTTCTTGTATCACGCTTTTGGCCTTCGCATATATGATGCTAAAGGCGCTCCAATATATAACTCAGATCTAAACAGGATTCCAATTCCTATGCTCACTGCAGTCAAGGAAATCCTGTTAGCTGGATGAAGATTATTAGATTGCTTAACTCTAAAAGAAAATAGCTAAAAATATGTTCAATGTTTACAAAGGTAGAAATACATTCAACTTCGTCTTTAGCTACAGAGAAAATTAAGCTCGGAAGTCGATGAAAATGTAATACGATAGAGTTGCAAGACTAGCCGCAGCCGTTCTCTATCTAATAGTTATTGGTCGGTGTAATGTCGCCCCTTCTAGAATACAAACCGCTCTCCTGAAATGAACTATATTTCGCAATATTACAAATTTACATTTTTTCTCTATTTGAATTGAAAAAAAGTCACAAGTGCATCCGCTTATGCAGCTGGGAATCAAATAAGAGTTTATTGGATTGTTCCGTCTCAATGCAATGTGGATTACTACAGGCTATCATATCAGCTCATCTCACGTAAGGCATGTCAAGATGTTCCTGTAATAGATGCTCCAGTCTACGAACTCAACGTCACATCAAGTACCACATATGTTATCGAATACCTTTCAGACATGGAATATTACGCCACTTATAACATCTCCATCATAGCTGTGATAAGGAGAGCAGAGAGTCTACCTATGATTGTTAGTGGAGACACACGAGATGGAGGTATGTATTGTAAACAATTATGTTAATACTAGCGTTGGCGTATCTACGAGGGGGGGGGTACACTTGCTCCGGGTGGCACTTGAAGATCGCGCAAAACACGGAAAAGAGAAAGAGAAAGAGTAGAAAGAGAAGATTAATATCATTATAATATAAATTCTTAATTTGCATAACAAATTTGCTTTAGAAATATTTGTTGTACTAAGGTTTAAAATGCAAAAGTTTCTGAAGCTTGGTTGCCTTGCTCATCGCGTATGTTCCTTCAGGTCCCGAAATCTCGCGCCTCAATAAAAGATATAGCTTTTATATAGTATTCTCTCAAGGGTTCAAGATTTATTTTAACGCAAATTATCATCAGCCATTTTTTTATATATAAGACAAAGGGCAAATGCAAAACCGTTTAAAGAGATTTGTAAATGTTAAATATTTGAAAGAAATCTTAAATTTTCCAGTTTTTTACCCATAATCCCGAGATTCGCCACGGAATACTAAATGTCGTACTAAATGCATGACATGACAAGAGAGTCCACTTAATAAAACAAGTATCGAAACATTAGATTGTCCTGGTGTACGTCTACCCTCTGTGGTGTTCTGTAGGCCCGGGAAGACAAGGGACCTTCTATTTTTGCTGTAATGTTATAACGGAGAGCCTACGTTACCCTTGCGTGAAATTCTAAATTATAAGGACAAATATTGTCACTTTCCGTAATAACTAATTCTATTTTTTTTAAATCTGGTTTAATTAAAAACATCAGAAATCCTTTTTTATATTTCTGTTTTGGATTTACCTCTTATATCTAGTTACAACTGCTATATTGTTAATTAACTATTCAACACTGTGATTTACTTTACAGACCCCTCTGCCATCGAGTCGGTTTCATACACCTCTACTGCCAGTTCCTTGCGCTTTGTGTGGGAGGAACCCTCTTGTGAAAGCCTACACGGTGTTTTGGATGGCTATGAATACGATCTCTATGATCCTACTGGTGTGGGGAGAACTGTCCAGGATCGAACGACCATACGAGGAAACAGTGTAGAAATAACTGATCTTGATGCTTGCACAGAATATCGCTTCAGAATAAGAGTAGTTACTACCCAGCTGAAAAGGAGTGAATGGCACATGGAAATGGCAATGACTAATATATCAGGTTTGCTAAATGAGATATAGTCCTATCGTACAAGTGTATTGGTTATGAAGACATGAATTTTGTAATGTGTCCATTGTACACATTAAAATATTGGCGATTAAAGAGCATTTGTTTCCAAGGGAAAGTAAGGTAAACTGTATGTTTCAAAGTCCAATATGTTGACGTTGTCACAAGATAGGTAGATAGCTGTTACTGCTAGCCTAGTAATGGCTCATGGATAATGATAATTTAACATACCTCAGAAAAAAACTAAATTAATTGAATCAATACATATTCTAAAAATAGAGATTAATTTTAGTGTAATCACAGTGTATTCGATTAATTATTGGGAACCTGAATTCGCTCGAATGAAGTGTTTATTCCTTCCTTTCTATACACTTATCAGCTCCTGGGATGCCAGTTATTACAGAGCTTACCACATATCAGGAAGACAGTGGCACTACTGGTCTAACAATATCATGGCAACCTCCTTCCTCACCTCCATGCCAGCCTACACATTATGAAATCAAGTACTATGTTCTTCAAGGCGATATGTGTGAGGATAACTCGAGGGATCGTATAATGACTTCAGCAGGGACCGTCAATGGTTCAACTTTCACCTTCAATGTCCTGGAGTTGCGTCCCAACTCTGAGTACATGGTGTTCGTGAGAGGCAGAACCAGTAGCGGTTATGGTGATTCGGATTCCCAATCAGCTACTACAGGATATTCATGTTAGTATTGTGTGTTCATGTACGTAGGGGAGGGCGAGGGTGTGTGTTTATGGTGAGAGTATGAGGGTTTGTGTAGGGGTATGTATCAATCACCTATATTCTGGGAACAGACCTTTACCGTCACAATACGAACAACTGAAATCACTTTCTAACTGCGGTCCGTCTGAGTTAGTTGTAGGAGAAAGACAGAAAGCTGAAAGTACCGCTACACCAATTAAAATATCGATATCTACTTTACACGCAGGGGAGGATCTAGCTCTTCGCTCAGTAGGGGGGGGGGGGTGTAGTGAGCATTAAAAAAATAATTGCCCCCGATATTTCAATTTTTAAAAAATGTTTTACTTAGTTGTTTTTCTCACTTGGCAGCCCAAGGGGGGAGGGTTAAACCGCCGACCCCCTCCCGTAGATTCGCCCCTGACACGACGCTAGAGTTAGGTAAATTCCTTATCTGACAAATTCGAACAGAAGGAGAACCATAATCTAAACTCGTAGTTGAATGAATACACTTTGAATATGAAACCTTGCAAAATATCATGGGAGAATATATTAAATGAAATACGCTGACCTGAAAATTCAGTTCAGAAAAACAAAAATCAAACTGAGAATTATAACAAAAAACTATACTACAGGGGTTAGAGAATGGTTACGAACACAAAGAACGGGATTATGAACTCGCTGAAAATGTAGAGTAGTGGATAGTAAAAATGTAGATGAGGTAAAAATTGAATACTAAGAAAAATGAATGAGAATGAGTTTTCCTCTTTTATTTAACAGATCCTACTGGTCCTCCAACTAATATTCAGTCCACTTCCATCAAGAAACGTAGTATTGTCTTCTCTTGGGGAAAACCAGAATGTGGTGATCGGAATGGTCCAATCTCAAGCTACGAAGTTATGCTCTCCAATTCTACAGGTAACGTAGTAAAACCTACAGAGGAAAGGGGGAATGGAAAGTACTAAAAGAGGTGGAATCCTAGAGATTGCGTGTTTAAAAGTAAAGTATATGAAACAAAAATGTCTGCCTTTAGCATCATCCCTGGTGGTACTTCCATAATTCATGAAATCCATACAAATTATACACATTTCGTGATTGAGAATAATGATGGGTTACTTCTTTTACAAATTCCGAGGTAGAACTTTGACACTTTGGATCTTCGAAACTGACTTGCTTGCTTGCTGTTGCTGAAAGAAAATATATATTTTTTTGGAATATTACTTTATAAACATGATTTTATTTTTTTCCTCTGGTAGATGAAATTAATAGATTCGAAAAAGTATGCCACTTATAACATTGAATTAATAAATCATTTTGTTATGCCTTCGCCCGCCAAAGGCATAATGATTTCGGATTTTCCGTCCTTCCGTTCGTACGTCCGTCCCGCTTTCTCGTTAACGCGATATCTCAAGAACCGCTCGAGATATGAAAGTCAAATTTGATGATAATATGTATCACCATAGGAAAACAATCTGATTAGAATTAGGATTAACTAGGTAAAAGGTCAACTTACACAGAGATAAAATTCTGAAATTCCAGCTATTTGCATTGTTATTGCAAAATCCTTAGAACCACTAGAGAAATGAATCTCGAACCTGGTGATAATAATTATGTATAACCAAACGAAGACAATATTATCATATTTTGGGTTAAAAGGTTAAAGGTCTCAGACTCTGAGGTCGATTTCTGAAACTACCAGTTTAAGCCTTGCTATTGCATTTTTTCATGAACAAGAAAAGATATGTTTTAGTTTTTATGGTGATATATCACGAATAATTTCATCCATTTGCTATACTGGATTTAGGGCTGAGACGCAGTCGCCTTTGTCTTGTTTATTTTTATCGCGAATCAATTTATTTTGTAAAGATTTGTGGAAATGAGCGGATAAGGTCATTTTGCAGAATACCACTTTGCCATTTTGAAACATTAAATGTTTATGCCCTCTGTATTCTTCAATTTATCTAGGATTTTCAGAATAATCTCTATCAATGATGAATTCTGGTCAATACCCAAGTATTGCTGTAAACTAGAGGTGGTCTTGTCAGTGATGCGTAGATAATTAAGAGAAAGAAAAAATATTCAGTGTTCAAGCATTGAACAATTAATTAAGGGATCACGACCGGAAAAGACAAATAAGATGTAGTGTTTTTATGGTTTTGCATCATGATGACGATTTTTAAAAATTAAGTCCATCAACCATACATGTAGAAAAGTCCATACAATTTTCAGCTTTCCTTTAAGAAACATGTAACCTAGCTACTGTATGTCTTCAAGGTAGTAGTTTTATACTCCAGAGTAAAATTGACGCTTGATGTCTTGTAGAGGTGTTGTAGTCTAATGAAAAAGTCTCCGGACTGTACACCACAAGGTACGAGGTTCAAATCCCAGCACGGCACTAATATACTTTAGAAAGACGTTACATGTACCACCTTCCACTCAATTGTAAATGGGTACCTGATATGCTTGAGTAGTTACCTTGGCGGCTTGGCTATAAGCAGGGTCATAATGTCTAAGGGCCATGAGCGTCACTGTGTGATGGATATGAACGCTTTATTTATTTATTCATTTATTTATGCATGTTCACAATTTCACAATTCATTGAAGTTAACATCACATGAAAATTAATATAAGATGACAAATCATTTTCAATTTTACAATACATTTGAATTAACTTCACGTGAAAAAAGAATATAACATTGTTTTATCAAAGACAAGTTGCAACTTATATACAGTTTGAAGAATGAACACACAAAGGTGATGAAACATAAGCAAATAGAGCTTGAATCGTTACAACACCTTTCAAATATATAATATATGACAAATAAAATTCCTAAAGTTTTGTAGTGAACTATTTACACTATTTACAAAGTTTTAAAAAAAGAAAGAAAAAAAAAAAATTCGTTAGGCCTAGTAACAAAATTATGTTAGATTTAATGAGAACTGATAAATAGATTATAATGTAAGTAATATCTTACATCTGTGAAATGATAATACATTTGAGTGCTCTTTTAAAAGAGTTTGTTGATTTTATATTTCGAATATCATTAGGTAAAGAATTCCATACATCTGGACCTCTGTGTCTGATTGATTTCTGGGCTAATGTAGTGTGAGGATTGACCACATGTAAATTCGATGACTGCCTTGTTGAATACGAATGAACCATGTTATTAGGTTGGAACATTGAAGATAATGACGTAGGTAATAATTTGATATTAAAACGGAACATAAATATGGCAATTTGGAGGAAGTTAATATCATCAATCTTTAAGCATTTCAGTTTAACAAATAGTGGGGTAGCATGGTCACGATAACCAGCTCGGGTACATATGCGTACAGCTTTCTTTTGTAACAGAAGAATATTATTAGTCACACACTTGGATGTTGCCCACAAAATATTACAATAAGAAATGTGTGGTAAAATTAGACTATTATATAGCATAAGTAATATTCTATCAGAAACAAAACATTTTATTCTATACAGTACGCCAATATTTCTGGAGATTGGTGTAACAATGTGTTTTACATGGTCGCTCCAGTCAAGTTTTTCATTGATATAGACACCAAGGAATTTTGTACATGTCTTTCTCTCTAAAGAAATATCATCTAGTTTAATATTAAGAGCAAGGTTGTCATTAGATTTTCTACCTCTAAAATGAATATAATTTGTTTTAAGAACATTGAGAGAGAGCACATTACTTCTAAACCATAAAGTCAACTTTGGTAGTTCCGAATTTAGTTTCTGTTCTAGAGTGTTGATTTCACGATGAGACAAGAAAACACTCGTATCATCTGCAAATAAGGTATAATTTAAAGTTTTAGATACATTACAAATATCATTGATATAAATAAGAAATAATAATGGGCCCAGGATGGATCCCTGCGGAACACCACATTTAAGATACAGAATGTCAGAGTTAACAGAGTTATAATAAGTGTACTGTCTTCTCATAGATAAGTAACTCGCAAGCCATTGTAAAGCTATGCCCCTTATTCCATAATGCTCTAACTTAGAAAGAAGAATTGAATGGTCAAGTGTGTCAAATGCTTTACTCAGATCCATAAATACACCAATGACATGCTCGTGAGCAGCGAGTGCACTTGAAACGCGATCATAAAATTTCAGTAGCGCAAGATCTGTAGAATGAGACCGCCGAAATCCAAATTGATCAGGATGCAATGATTCACATTTATCTAAAAAACTGTAGAGCCTGTTATAAACAATTCGTTCCAAAACTTTAGAAAAGCTAGGCAGTAATGAGATTGGTCTATAGTTAGAAACGACCATCACGTCATCTTTTTTATGAACAGGAATCACCTTTGCCAGTTTGAAAGAAGAAGGAAACACTCCGGTCATCAAAGAGAGATTGCAAATGTGTACAAGAGGCGTTAGAATTGAACCAATGATCTTTTTCAATAAAAATGTACTGATTTCATCATGCCCAGAAGAGTGACTGTTTTTTAGCGATCTCACTACATTGAGAATTTCAATGTAATCCGTTGGTTTTAGAAAAATAGAAGTATTAGATGGTTCATTGAGGTACTGTGTGAAGTTGGTTCCATCTTTATTTATCATCTTGGCTTGATTTAGGCCAACATTGACAAAATAAGTGTTATATGCATTTGCAATATCTTCTGCATTTGTTATTTCTTTATTACCATGAACAATTTTTCCTGGAACTTCATGTTTTCCTTGCTTGCATAAAATATCCTTTACAATTTTCCAGGTAGATGAAATATTGCCATTTGCACTTTCAAACCTCTTAGAGTAAAATAAACGACGTGAACATCGTATAATTGATGTTAATTTATTTCTATATTTCTTGTATTTTTCAACATTATCTGGTGATCGTTTTTTCATGCTTCTTTTATATAGGACGTTTCTTCTTTTTATCGATCTTAGTATCCCTCTAGTAATCCATGGATGATTTCCTTTTCTCTTGTCGTTTAATTGCACATATGGAAAATGTTTATTAAAAAGATAATAAAACTTATTCCAAAATACTTCAAAAGCACTTTCTACATCGTCACAAATTATAACATCATTCCAATTTTCCGAGAGTAAATCTTCATTCAGACAAGAAACATTTATTCGAAACCGTTATCATTATTCCTGTTGTTCATTTCCAGGAGACGTGGTTTATCATGGTAATGCCTCAGCTAGCGCAGGACCTGAGCTATTTGAGATATTTGACCTCATCCCCTATTCGATCTACAGGATTAGGATCAGAGCTTGGAACTATGAACTAGCAGGGGAGTATGGTCCAGCGATTTGGGCACAGACAGATGAATCAAGTAGGTCTCAAAATGCATGTCTTCTAGTTTTATTTTGCTAACGACGAAAATTATATCTATTTCCAAGATATATTTGTTTACAATGTCAAAGGTGTATCTACAGAACCAGAAATACAACTCTGATAAAAAATCATTTTGTAGTCAACAGTTTGGAATTGATCATATACAGGAACTGTATGCAATTTTATGCGAACATGTACTTGTACAAATCTTTAATTTGTTTTGTTGTTACATTATTCGCCCTTTTTTGTATCCCCTCCTCTTTTAAAATCAATGGAAAACTAATTAAATATTTTTTTCCAGTCATAAATAAGACGTAATGGAGTAATCTTGAATTCTAGATTTCGTGCACCCAAAACCCTTACTGACAGCTGTCCAGGATGGGTTACTGATTCTGAGTGTGCTTGTGTACAATATGCGAGTAAAAGAAGACAATATTATTGCTTCGAAATATTTTGCTCCTTTCAAAAGCACAGTCAAAGTTATAATTATTTAATGTTTTTAACATTGCTCGTTAAATTCTATCTTCCGCCAACATTGCTAGTCAGTGGATTCTCTATAGGAATTTTCGACAGAAAACGAAACATCTATTTTTTACTTTTTCCAACGTGTCAGTGATAGATCATTGAGTTGTTTCGTTCATAATTATCCTACGAATTTTCTCTATGATATGTACATTAAAGAGCCAGCGCCACCAATCGAAGTAAAGCTTCCATCTTCCGACCAGGAGAGCATCACAGTAGAATGGATGTCACCGAACCCTCCTTTGGGCAGGATAATGGGTTACTACATTCTCTACTGGGAGACGGATGATGTTGGTGCTACTCCTCAGACCTTCGGCATCGAGTGTCGGGACGGGCAGTGCTCTGACATTGACTACAGGTTTTCCACAATTATCCCCCATCTCCAGCGGGACACAAATTATTCCGTTCAGGCAAGTGCGATTCTTGCAGGCGTTTTGTAAATGGATTCTGTATATTCATATCAAGATGTACATTATTTTTTCATTAATAATATGATAACAAACTCAGGGTTTAAAATAGTATCCATTTATAAAATGTGTTGTGAAGATATTACTAAAAGACGTAAAGCTTCACGATGACGCGGGATAGAACCAGGAGAAGCGAATTGTAGGTTTCCCGACCTTTCTAATGAAATATGAAAAACAGAAAAGAAATATGAGTATGGTGAAAACAAAAAATTACACCATCTTGGTATCTATATTCTTGCCGATGAAATGCTTTTATAATAAACCTTTAATGTTAAATAAAAACAAGCCAGGAGGTCCATATCTTCTCCTTCCATCCATTCAAGGTCAATCTCTAAATTGTCCATAATTTATTCTACTCTGTAAGTCGTTCCCCGTTCTACATCTCCATTTTATATCACCATGTTTTTCTTCCATTATACAGGTCATGGCGGAAACCATTCTAGGTTTTGGTAGCCCAAGCCCGGACCCACCCGTTGTCAGGATTACATCAGAAGGAAGTACGATATTCATTTTATCATTTGTATGATGTCCCATGTAGATCAAAATAATTATTGTAGAAATATTATCACCCCATTCAAAAAGGGAGAAAAGGAAAAAACGTTGAGTAATATGGTAACACAAACTATATAATCATCACATGTTCATTTAACACAATCGCAGAGACTTTCAAGAAATCAACTCAAGGGTGATTTCAATACCGTATATCGTATTGGCTATGTAAAGGACATCGTCAGATTACGTAATAACGCCATTGAAAACTTCGCACACTTTATTAGATGAGGCACAAGGCTATTGAAACTGCCTTATGGCGATAATTTAAAGATTTTTCGATGATAATGATAATAACAATATGTCTTATTTACCCAGGGTAGCCTCATTTAAGTGTTTAAACTGTTCTCCCTGAGGGCCCTGGAATCATGTCATTACCCCCCCCCCCGGCTTTAGCCGAGCTACCATGAAAAGGTGCGCAAGCATTGCAGGAATGTCCTCCTACTGGGCACCCATTCACCTCACCTGGGTGGAGTGTGGCAAATGTAGATTAACATCTTGCCAAAAGACATCAGTGCCGCGGCGGGACTGTTGTATGGAAGTGTTCATGTACATGATGTAACTAACCATGAGTGTTTGTTTGGAGAGCATGAGATCCCATAATCCCCGAGTATTATCCAGTTATCAGTTAAGTGTATGCAAGGAATGACTACATGGCTACCTGAAAATAAAGGATGATGAATCCTATCACCATGTATTGCAAAAGTGACCAATGCATGTAGTTTTGATCTCAAACTTAACCTCCCATTCAAATGACACGAATCTACAGTAGATGTTAAATCACTGATATTCCCTTCTTAAATACAGCGCAAAATAATGCAGAGAGAGAGAGAGAGAGAGAAAGAGAAACGAAAATGTTTTGTCAATGCTATAATTTGTGAGAAGCTTCTAACCTTAAACAAGAAGATCGTATACAAATATTGACTTGTATTTACTTCATTATTAATCTTATATCCTGCTTTACAGTTCCTAGTGAGCCCCAGGAGGTGGCTGTTTCCAGGAGATCAAAATCTTTGCTGATTACCTGGAGGGAGCCGAGGTACCCCCGTGGAAAAATATCATATACGGTAACCTCACAACTAAAATTCATACGAAGATTTAATGATGGTTTCAGTGTATCCGAACTGTAATTATTATTCTAACCTTCTCTCTGTAGTTCACTTCTTCATCAGCTATTTTTTTTTTTAAATTTAAGTTACCTATATTTTCTGTTAGACTAATGCAAAAGCGTGAAGTATTATGAATCATTGAATGAAAAGGAACTTTCTAAACTCTAGTACTTTGTTGCTGAATGGTTTCATCCGATTGCTAAAATTGGATCGAAATCTTGATATACAAATATATTTAAACCAGTTATAAAGGAAACATGTTTTGTTTTGCTGAAGTATGGGTACAATTGTGGCTTTCGTCCAACCAATATTTTCAGATGAGCCAAATAAGCTTTTTTTGTGTGTAGTTTACCAATTTTCGATTCAAGTCTCAATAACGAAAGTCTTTGGGACACCCCCATTTTTTTTAATGGAGTTGCATGTTACCGATTTTTTGAAAATGAAGCGACAAAGACTTTTCCAGTCGTTCCCGAAGTAATTGCAAATATCCCTACCGTGACCTCAAAACACATCAGTGGATGACAGCATTATTCACAATTGTGTTTTCGGGTCTCCCTCTCTCTCTCTCCCTCTCTCACCTTTTCTTTCTCTCTCTCACACTTTTTAATCTCTCCCTCTAGCTGGCTTACAAAGTAAAAGGAAAGCCATACGACAGATCATTCCAGCCAGAAGAATCGTTTACAATGAAGGAGGTAGCAGGAGCCTCTACGAGCTATGTGCTTGGTGATCTGGAACCAGCTACACTCTATGAGGTCTACGTGGTAGGGTCCACAAGCAAAGGGGAGGGGGAGTCTAGTCAGCATGTTGAAGAATTTACGGAACCTCCTGCAGGTATTGGAAGAAACATGTTGGAAGTTGGAAGTTATTAGACATGACCATACCCTTAAAGGGATCATACTTTTGTGAGAGGGGAGTGTCAAAATTATCGTAAAGGTTAAATACTATTGTAAATTTACATGATAAAAAAGTAACAAAAAGAATACGATTTTAAATGGTTTTATCTCCATCTTTCTTAACAATGAAGTTAACGACAATTGGACAAACCCGTTAATACTAAACTTGTCTTTGCATGCATGTTAACATAAGTTTGACGGGTGTTTATCTCTAACCACAGACTCCAATGTTTAACCATTTCAACTCTCTATGACACCTCCCATCAAATTATTTAAAAACACTGCTTACACGATTCTTTATAAATCGAGATGATGGGGTACGATTTACACCAGGGACAACAAGTCCAGGCGATACGTGGTAGATAGAAGGACTTTACTGCAACCGTCTTCTACTTTAAAAACAAAGTACCATTAATATCGAACTTTGATTGATAACATATGCAGGATACAAGTTCTAACCGACGTGTACGGCTGTGGTCGAAAGATACTTATAATTTTCTTACTAGTCTTGCAGGTTTAATCAACATGTGCAACTCTAAACAGAGAATATTATTGATTTTTATACTGGATAAAAGTCATCGTTCAATGATGTTTAAGTTTGATGTTAAGATCTCCTTTTTGTAACGTGCCATAGCTGACGAGCTTCCAAAGCCCAACCCACCAGTGATAGTGTCTTCACCTGACGGTTCGCCTACCATTCAGATTAGCGATGTGCTTAAATCTCCATATATAACGTAAGTATATAGCTATATATTCCAAGCGATGATTTTTTTACCTTTAATGATATAAATATTTGAATCATGTGTATGTGAATAATTAGGCCAGCGTTTAGAAACAGTAGTAATAATCGCTATATAGATGATATTACGTTATTTTCATCGTTATTATTATCATCATAATTGAAATTATTATTATTAACAATGATACCATCATCGTCATTTTTATTTTATCACTATACCAATGTCTGTCTTTTTAACGCACTGCTCTTGATCTGCGCAATGCTTTTTTGAAAAGGGGGAGAGGGGAAGCCTGGAATGCATTTAGTGGGCCAACGGGTTTCAGTACTTTTTTTTAGACAAAACAGATGGCCATTCCTCCAACATTTTCATCATACCTCTCACAGCTTTGTTAATGTACAAGCTCTTGGTGTATTAATTGGTATATGGGTAAATTCATGCATTCATATATTGTGAAGGCTACTTTACATCAAGAAGTAATGTTACATTCGGTCTGCCACTCAGTCTCATGTCATGGAAAGTTAAAGCTGGAGCATCAACATTGTTTGCACAAGGGCCTAAATTAATATTAATTTTCCTGATCCTTGCTTTAGAATAAAATAATAGTTATTAAAATGCAGGGAAAGGTGACAAGAGTGTATATAATCATCACAAATATCCCTTTGAACTTTCAGGCACATACTTGTTGCTGTTGAAGAGAGAATTCCAGTAACAAGGCGCCGACGTCAAAAGGCAGCGTATGGATCCTATGCCGAGAATCCCTCCTCATACATAGCAGCTAACATCAGCAAAGATGATCTTCCGATAGAGCTAACTATAGGGGATAATGAGACTTATGGACATTACCACAATGCACCCCTCAGAGACAAGGCGATATATGATGTACGAACAGGTGTTGAGAGCAACGTTGGAGGACAGGTACGATTTTTCGTTGGACGTAAATATCCCACGTGACTGTCGGCCTACACGGTGTAGTGGCCTATGGTTTCGTGGCCTACGGTTTCGTAGCATAATTATATTGTGGAAATAATGTTTGCAAATATCGGTGAAAATGCCTAGGTCACATTTGCCGCGGCGGACGTGCATTCTAAAATATCTACGACCAATAGCAATTATAGGACCGCCGCAGCATTCCCACGGTCACATACGGTAGCGGTCACATATGTTAGGGTAGCCGCACGGCGTATTTTGAATTTGTGGAGACAGAAATCCTTCGACTGCCGTACGGCCTTTGAAGTGATGACGCAAGGTCGCCTTAGGGCGTCCCTGCGGCGGCCGTAGCTTTTTGACAAATACTAAGGCAGACGCAATGTAGCCGCAAGGTGCCCGCAAGGCGGCCGGAGGGGGACCATACGGCTACTGTGCGTCATCACCTCAAAGGCTGTACGGCAGCCTTAGATTTTCGGTCTCCACAAATTCAAAATGCGCCGTGCGGTTACCTAACATATATGACCGTGGGAAAGCTGCGGCAGTCCTATAATTGTTATTGGCCGTAGATATTGTAGACCTCACGGCCGCCGCGGCAAATGCGACCTAGACATTAGGAACAATCATGAGGGGCGTAAGAATTTGTGGTTGCGTCGTGTGTAACTGAAATTGTGATCATTGTCTAATTAAATATTGCTTGTTCACTAATTCTACACATCAGAAATATGCAGCGTGCGGTTTTTATTAGAAGACAGTTTTTGTGGAAAAAAACACAACACATTATGGATTAAAGAATTCAAGCGTTATAGGTTAACAGTATTCTGTAAAGATTCGTGCTACATAATTTGATGGACCATTAAAGATTAGCCAGATTTTTAAACTTAAAGAGGAATTAACCTCGCGACTATGATATATTATCATGATATAGAGAGTAAAACAATGTTTCATTTGATAAAAAGTTTTGCTGTAGGCCAAATATTAGCGTCTTGCAAGTCCAATAAAGGGATCCCAATTCGCCATATTTCAGACGTCGTCTGCTGCCCAAGGAAGCTGCCATCGTGTCGAAATTTCCCTTCCACAACTTCCGGGTTGTGACGTATCGCACGGAGAACTGATGTAGCGCGGCGCGCGTGTTAAATGCAATACACGTCAATGCCAAGAGTTTGGGTGTAATAATTGTTCCAGTATAATTGTTCCTGGAAACCAGGGGGAAATCCTTTCGTCGATTTCTAGACCCGCACAATCGCAATGAAATTTTCAAGCTATAGCAGCTCCGAAGGTCGAACAATTTTTAAATAAAAAGTATTAGTACGACAGGAAAGACGATGTGATCTGCAGTGATCATTTTGTAGTGCACATCAGGGAAACCTACGTACGCAATATCGGTCGACTCCATGCGAAACGTCACAGAACGGGCCGTGCGGAAGCACAATGACGACGTACTTCAAGTTTCCAGAGCCGCGAACGACGAAGGATTCTGAAGAAGAGTTACGTCCTCCCTTTCGTCAAAATATATGTTTTTAATTTGTTCAGATAATGTTTTTGATGACCTACAAACTGAAAAGTACATGTAGTTTGAGGTTGATTCCCCTTAAATCGCCGTTATGAATTCAAAACAATTGAAAGTTGGCTAACTACCTGTCAAAACCTAAGTTCACGTGGAAGTGCAGAATATTTGGCCATTGTATGTATATCGGAGAGGCGTTAAAATGTGCTATGCGCTTCCCTGGTATAGAAAAGGTTCTACTAAACTTCATTAAAACTGCCACTAGATAAATACACGAACATCTCATTTAAAAACATTACTAATTAGCTAATTTCTTGATTACCTTTTATTTAGAAATCCACCCTTTTCGGAGATCCATCTGAAGTACAGCCAGGTAGAAACGCATATTTTATTAGATTCTTGTACATTTGTAGTTTGAAAGTGCTTTAGCTTTTGAATGGAAATTGGCCTATGATTTAAACAGATATGGCACATTTCCATTACTTAAACTTTTAACTTCTATTCCCGAACTTACGGATCTCTTCGCTATATTCAATATCACTGCTCTCAATATCACAATTAACTACGAATAAGTAAGCATACATTGTTAATTAGTACCTAAACAAAACAAATTCTCTACGATCCGGAAATGAAAGTCGTAAATGCAGTCAAAATTCATTGAGCAGATTTCTCGAAGTGAATGACTTTTGCCCAAGATTCCTGATTTGCATCAATTTTGGATCCAAGGTCTGGCTTAGTAATGAATATCTATAAGACTATAGCTATGTTTTAAAAGCAAAAGTTTCTAAAGCTCGGTCGCTTTGCTCATCGCGTATGTTCCCTCAGACCCTGGAATTTCGCGCCCCAACATAAGATATACATTTTATACAGTACTCTCTCAAAAGTTCTAGATATTTTACAATGCAAATGCATTTACATGCTCCCTATTTTATGATTAAAAAAACATATATAAAGGGCAAATGGTAAATGCAAAACCGTATAAAGTGATTTGTAATGGTTCAAAATTCAAAAGAAATTGAGCTATTTTTGCCCTTATCCCTCGATACGCCACCGAATATTACATTTTTTATAAATGATTTGACAACAGGGTCCACTTAATTAAAACACGTATCGAATCATGAGTTTGTCCTGGTGTACGTCTACCATATATGTGGTGTTCTGTAGGCCCGGGAGCGCATATTTTTGTTTACACAACTGTTTAGCCATTTTCGCGAAAAAAATCCTAGAAGTGCTCTGGTGAAAGAGTCTAACTCGTCAGCACACATATACACCCAGTGCACACACCCATGGAAGGGCAGATGATAGAAAAGGGAAACCAAGGAGAGTGGAGAGGATATGGAGAAGGAAAAACAAGGAAATACACCAGGAAAGAGAAGAGGATAAGTCAAATGAAGAACACAGAAAAACATAACGGAAGAGCTAAGAGGATTATAGATTCGGGTATAGACTAAGGAAAAACAAAGAAATAGATGACGAAGGAGAACATGATAGATTGAAGTAGAAACAAAGAATTACATAAAACTGTAGTTGCTGGGTAACTTGCCTACTGGAAGGCCATAGGAGGCACTAACCAAAGACAAGCCAGACTGCTACGGATAATGTTAGACTCTGTTTCTAGTCGTTTGCACAGTATATTTACCTGAACTGGCTAAACAGTTGTGTAAAAAAATATGCGCGGCCCGGGAAGACCGATGGCCTATTACGTTTGTTGTTATGGTCGTTATAACGGAGAGCCTTACGTTACCCTTACGATGAGATTATAAATTATAAGAGAAATTGTTTCAATATCCGTAATGATTACCTCTATTTATTTATTTTTGCTAGTAGGCAACCTATTGGGAACGGTTTGATTGCATGCAATTACAATTAATTATGATCATCTGGTAGTATCTGACTTATTTATCATTTATCTATCAACTCTGATGCTACCTTAATATCTTTAACTCCTGTCTTTTATTTTCACTACCGTCCGTCTTCCCGCAACATCCTCTTCACCTGTCTCTTCTCCATTAAAATCAACTTCAGCTGGAGTCCCTTCAGGTTCCATAGCAAGCATCGTAGGAAGCGCTGTTGGTGCTATTCTTGTGATTGTTATCGTTATAATTCTCATCATCATCTTTTACAAGCGAAGAAGGTTAGAGAGATACCATGTGCTTAACTTATCCCTCTCATCGGTTCATTCTCATCGAAGTCCTCCATGCAAGATGCTAAAAACCATATGGCCATAAAAATACAAATCTAAATATGATTGTATTAAAAAATATAAGCCTATATATAAAGTTATATTGTTGCCTTTTTCTTGTTTTCAAATGCTATTGAATGGAAATATTCTAAAGCATAACTCTTTTAGAATGCTATGGCAATCCGCTTGAAAAGACCTATTATGTTAATGATATGCATTTTAAAATTACCATACCACTTACCACATTTAATGTTTACATGTTTCTATATGTCTATTTATTGGGAATTGATAATTTGTTTAATTATGTATTTCATCAAGGCAATTTATCTATGCTTTCATAATATTAACTTTCAGTGATGAATCAGCCCCTACTAGGTCTAAAGGGAAGGAGTCCGATTCGTCTGCGCAGTATGAGAACCCTGTATTTGATCCGTCAAAGACAGACGTCCATACCTACCAAGATCTGCACACTGACATTCATAACTACCAAGATGTTAATACCGATGCTAAGAGCTACGGTAATCTTGCTGACCCTCAGACCGACCAAAATCTAAAGGAACCTGATCAAGAAGCTATATACGAAGACATAAATACAGAATATGTCAACGTGCTCAAGAAGAATTGAATACATTAGAAGAAGGAAGATCCAAGTCAATCGCAATGATTTTGAGTTCTCAAGAATTTAAAAGACTTAAGAGGGATAACATATTTTCAGTCTTGATTTATTACAAATATATTTTCATTTTTCAATCATTTCATCAAGAAGCAACCATACTTTAAATCTAATCGCAAAATATTAAAGTTCATCTTAATAGCTAAAAAAAAAATCATTCTGATGGACTTGGGCGTTTTTTCTTATGTATCAAATTAGAATACCATGACGAATAGTTGTCAAAAACTATCATGGCTTCCTGTCCTTCGTCCTGTGCTTCTCTTTCTCTGTTTACACCTTGTCTACTCGCGTTATTCCCAAATCTTTTGATATCAGCGATCCCTTGAAATGTTCCTTTTTTAATAACATGATTCGCACAAGTCTGAAAATTTTGGATAAAAACAGTTGTAGATCTTAGGTCCCACTCTACATGAAAGTCAAGGTATGGGATGAGTTTATTTAAATGTACACACACATTTATATATATATATGTACTTATCCTCGTTCATTGAAGTTTGTTTTCTACTTTCATTTCCTGAATAATGTGAATGTAAAGGAACGCATGAATCTTACATCATGGAGCAAGAGAGATATTTCTATTTCTGATTTGTTTTCCCCCTTCTCTATCATGTGCTGAGGTTTCTGATGAAAACGATTTCAGGAAATAACAGATATGTTTTTTAATTATTCAATCCAGGTACAAGTATAAAAGAAAACGTATTGAATCATGTATATACACGTAAAATACGAAGGCATGTTCCATCATGTAAGTCGTGTTTTGAGGTATCAGTAGGACAATACAATATTCCGCTGTACTTGTTGTCTGTATGGGAATACTAGTGTTGATGCCTGCTATTTCTAGTGTAAAGCATTATTACCCCACTGTTTGACAATAATGAATAAATTATCAATCATTATTATTGTAATTATTCTTATCATTATTATCATTAGGCCTATTATTATCATTATTATTATCATTATTGTTATCATAATTATCATTATCATTATTGTTATTATTTCTACTATCTCTACTAAACAGTGGAATTCAATTTCATAAATAGGTCAACGATAATGTGATAGAATGTAAACGATGAAAAACGAAAATATAAGTTGTAAATATAAACATAAACTACGCATCATATTGTTATGTGAAAGCTTTGTGTCATGTAATGGTGGGTGTTTAGGAAAAAAATTGTAGATAGTAGAATTAGAAGTTAATTAGTAGAGTTAGATAATGCAATCCAAATCAAAATGTTTATATTTCCATATGAGCAGGAAATGTGTAGGCAAATATTAAATGTGAATACTGATAACTAAACGTATAGAACACACAATATGTATACCTTAAAGAAGTTTTAATAATAAAGAATACAACAAAAGATAGAGTTATTTTGTTTGGTGTGAGCTCGTCAATTAGCACTTTGAACGTTCCTCACCTAAAATTAATCCGTCTGATTATTAAGGCAGTGTGGAATTTGGCAGACTGTGCTAACAGTCCGCCGAATACCAGCCAGATTACTTTGCGGTAACAATTAATACAACAAAAGAATGCATTAAAGATAAAGTTAAGTTCTGGTCATGCGATTGCATTGTGAAAGAAAAGGTGTGGAATGGAAATCATGTAGCATGTAAATATTGGTGTGAACTGCAAGGTTCTGGAATCATCAAAATCATAATAAATTTAATGGTGGATGATAGTGTTGTTGAAAAGTAAATGTCAGGTTGATTTGCATTTACAGAAGTGTAATTGATGTTGTACTGCAAATTGTAAACACCACGCCATCACACGTCATTTGTAGATCTCCATTCAGTCATACCATTTAATCTACCATGGCTTAGCAAAGTTTGTCCAAAAACCCAACAGAGAGGGCCTTTTTAATACTCATCTTTCTGGGGCCCGTTCTTTGATACCAACGACATGACAGTCACAACTTGATATGCTACGGAAATGTCTTTGATTTTCCTAAACCGTTTTACAAAAAGCTGACTAGCTAGACATCTCATGATAACGATACTATTGGCGGGAAGAGGAGCCTAGGCTTTGTTTTTGAGATGGGTACCCTCAAATATTTTCATTTGATAGTTTAAGAAAAATACAACTTTATAATTTTCGTAGTAAAAATACGATGCTATAAGAATTGCGGCAGATGTTTTAGGCTTCAACAAAACAGTTAAACGACACAACGCAGGAAAGAGAAATAGGGAGAAAGAGAAATAGGGAGGAAGAGATGGAGAAGGAACAGCAGGACCGCAAGAAGTTTAATGAAAACCTTCAAGCGATGAGGGAGACGTAAGTAGAATTTTGTTGTCTATCCTTCAACTCTAGAATGTTTCTGCTTCCTGTTTGTCCCGATTTACATTAACAAGCTATCTGCATTTGCTGACAACAGTACATGAAGATAACATTAGGTTTGTATAGTTTTTGTGACTTTGATATCTTTACGTTTTTAAGTTCATACAAGATATGTCATATTTGTAAGACAGAAATTACCGAGAATTGAATGTGGATGTTAGGGGTATCTCTTTATGTATTGCGATCAAATATGTATCATGCCATACTTTGCAAAATTGCAGAAAATTTGATTGAATAGACAGCATGTCAAATAGATATTGAATAGATATTGAATATACATTGACATTTCCTTTCCCTTCTCTTCTTTTCTTCCTTGTCTCTCTGTTATTTTTGTTCCTCTCTATCTCTGTCCCTGTCTGTGTATGTGGGTGTGTGTGTTTGTGTGTGTGTGTGTTTCTCTCTCTTTCTCTCTCTCTCTTTTTCTCTCTCTCTCTTTCCCTCCCTCTCCCTCCCTCCCTCTCTCTCTCTATCTATTTATCTTTCTCTCTCTCTCCCTCTCTCTCTCTCTCTCTATCCCTCTCCCTCCCACTCCCCCCCTCTCTCTCTCTCTCTCTCCCTCTCCATCTCTTTCTCTCTGGTAGGTATTCAGAGCAAGTGGTGGATACCCTGTCATCCATGGATCACAATGTCTTAGATCTAGATCTCACAGCTGAACTACTGCGCTACATCTCACTGCAAAAACCGGTAAGGTTGCTCACTGACAGTCTGTCATTACTTTCACCCTCTAAGAAATGCAAAGTAGAAAACTACATAAGATGTTTATATACCAGGATATTTGGAAAATGGAGAAAAATTGAGTTTAAAAATCATATTCATGTAATAATCCTGTTTAAAACAAAATACATATCCATTTATGCATGTTTTAATCCCTAAACTCCCTGTCATTTTATAAACCTTTTATAAATCATGGCATCTCAATGGTTGGAATCCACTTTGCATACATGTACATAAGTTGTTGCTATGTAGGGCAAGTCTCTGCCAACTGTCTTAGGTGTCAAGAGAAACTTTCGTTTAAAAAGTGTGCATACATATTAGTTAACAGGTGTATTCCTTATCCACTCAATGTAGTAAGCAGTGGAACATTATTCCAACCACTCCCTTCAATCATTTTACTTCATAGATCTTAATCATAAAATTGACATGGAGAAGTAACTATTTCATGCAATTTTGGAGAAAGAGGAGTTTGGAGTTAGACATCCTTAGCAAAGAGTAATAGGGCTTCATTTCAACAGTTGTGAATGAAAGTGTAGAAATACTACTTATGAACTATGATTTGGATCCACTTACCATTTACTGAGTCATCAACTATACAATGGTGTATCTCGATTGAGCTTAACCACACAGTGACTTCCTTGGTCAGTTTTATATCATTTTACCTCTACTCGTGTAGAGGTGTCATGGTCGAGTGGATACGTCGCCGGACTGTCGATCACAAGGTCCACGGGTTCGAGTCCCGCTGCAGCACCAATGTCCTTTGGCAAGACATTGATCTACATTTGCCACACTCCACCCATGTGAAGTAAATGGGTACCTGGTAGGAATTTATTCCTTAAACCAGAGCGTGCGTGACAGCTTCACTGCTAAAGCCAGTGAGGGTAATTATGCTGCATTATTGTAGAGTGTTTAGAGACTTCTGATAAAGTAAGTGTTAGGCGCCAATTAAGCAAATATAATTATTATTACTAAAACTCATTCACCATCCCTAGAGGATTCCAATTAGTGAGCTATCTTTTCTCCCCACTAGGAAGGTGCCATCCTTGTCTTTCTACCGGGGTGGGATCAGATCAGTAAGCTACATGACAAACTCACCTCCCAGACGCTCTTCTCAGAAGAAAGGTTCATCATCATTCCTCTACACTCTATGATGCCTACCATCAACCAGAGACAGGTTAGTGCTAGCATGTCTTCCACACTTCCTCTATACATCTCACCACTCTTTCAGCAACGGAGAGCATCATACTCGCTTCAATCACCATCAACTCCTTCCTCTCTTTCTCAAAACCTGAAAACACTTTCACTGTTAAAGGCAATTAACAATGTTAAATCTGAGATGCATGGCCCTACGTGTTATCAGTGTCTGTGATATGGTGTAATATTGAAGCCCAATACAAATTGTGCTTCAAAATGATAAATGAAGTGCCTCAAAAAAGTAAAAATCTTTGAGTGACCGGTTTTACCATATTCATTTTTCCCAATAGACTGTAATGTTATAAAAACCGTTAGGAAAAAAATATTCTGAAATTTCTAATTCCAATCATAGATATCTGGATGATCACACAGGCGATTGGCTTGTAAAAGTCATGAGATTCTTGTATGACATAAAGGTCTATAATTATTATTGCAGCATGAGCTAAATCCAGGACTTGTTTAAGAATCTTAGGCAAAATTACCTAAACCCTCTAATATTTTCAACCTGTTGCCTTACATCTTAGGAAAAAAATCCCTGCTTTTCAAAGAGATAGTAGTTCACTTGACCTCTCAAAAGATAATTGAAAATATACCTCTACAATTCTTTTCTAACCTGTTGATTCTGAATTCTCTAAGTTCCATAGGCCTCATACAGCGACCACTTGGTTCCTGTATACATAGGGTTAATTAGTACGTAGACCAAGGAACAGCACCTTTTATCCTTTTGAAAAGGTGTTCTGTAAATTCAATTCTTATAATTATTATTATCATTATCATTACTCTTTGATAAAGCTCCACTGAAAAATTGCAAGGCAATCTAATCTCATGATTCTTGGTTTACTTCCCGATTACAAGGCATTTTCGTCTTATCCTTGTCTTCCTTCCCGAGTGTGGTTTTTTTGCAGTTACCATTTTGATTTACATTTCTACTCTTTCTAATGCCTGAATTATCTGTAATTAGAGTTTGATGTTTTCTCACTGTACGCATGATTTATCATTAGGTATTTGAACATCCACTTCCCGGAGTACGGAAGATCATCATAGCAACCAACATTGCAGAGACTAGCATCACCATAGATGATGTGGTCTATGTGGTCAACCTGGGACGAGTCAAAGAAACCAACTTTGATGTGGCCAACAACATTCGGACGATGAAGGCTGAATGGGTCAGCAAGGCGTCGGCTCATCAGAGGAGGGGGCGAGCTGGGAGGTAAAGAACTGGGAGATGGTGTTTGAAAGAAAATGACAAGGATGTATTAATGGTGATGATGATGATTTTGATAATTATTTATTGAAGCTCTTTTGTAGTTTCTATTTTCTTTGTCCCTATTAAAATTTCCAAATATTTTTTTCAACATGCTGATGATAATGATTATGGTGGTGGTGATGATAATTATGATGTAACTGATAAATCGAAATTAATGTGCTTGATGATGATGACGTAGAGTGTACACAAAATAATCTGAAGGGGATTATTTATGATGCTGGAGGTTGTGATGCTGATGGTAATGACAATGTTGTTAGCACCGATGGTGAAGTTGGTCGCAATCATTATTGAGCTGGTGGTAACAATAGTATTTTTTTACCTGGATAGTAGACAGTAATGGTAATGTTAAAGTTACAATGAGTACACGCATGATAGGTGTATGTATAATTGAGAAAATAATGATGGATGTTCATCATCATGATAATGCTGATGATGTAACTGTTCTTACATAAATGTATATACATGTAAATGAAATGGAATGGCAAAAAACACATTGGTGATGTTACTTATATATTTGGTATTACATACATGTATAAAGAGGTGTCAAAGTCAAGTGGTTTAAACATTTGCTGGAGATATCAAGGTTTGATATGGAGCATTGTATTTATTTCCTTAAGCAAGGCATTTTATCGACCTTGCTTCTCTCTACCCAGGTGTTAAATGAAAACCTGGTATGATGTAAAAGTCAGTGTAGATTGCTCAGAAATGTGAGTGGCTGTTAAATGGTGCCTGGCTGGAATTCTCCCGAGGGATTGGAGAATGTGCATACAATTTATAGGATTATCCGAAGACCTGCAAAGTGCCCAGGGTCATTGTAGTCGTATAAAGCTCTATATTAACCTAGAATATTAATATTATTATATTATATTTTGTCTGAGCATCATTCTATTGAGTGTGTTCATTTATTTTCCCATGCAGGGTGCAGGATGGAGAATGCTTCCATGTGTACAGCCAGCTAAAGGCTTCTGAAATGGTGGAATACCAACTTCCAGAGATCAAGAGAACTCCCCTTGAAGAACTCTGTCTCAACATAAAGGTACCCTAATGGGCTTTACAAATATAATCTTGCCTGTTTGGAGCCAGAAGGGCGTTAAGTCAAATACATGAACTTTAACACAGAATTAACAAAGAATTTCTATCATCTTTTTTAAATTTCCGCTCATTTAAAAAACTTCAAGCATATCTGTATTAGTTTGGCCAGAAGGGATTAAACTTTCCTGCGTGGTCACTTGCAGGTAGTTATTTCATTAAATCAGTTCTTGATTAACAAAGAAAAAGGGGATCATGGGGGACCAACAGGTACCGCTTAGGCATTGTTGGCTATATAGAGGGCGCAATTAGCTACAAGTAGTGCAGTCCTGCTTTAAAATAGAGTACATAATACTTAATACTACGTTATAATAAAATTGTTTGTTTCTTCTCATATTCAGACCTTGAAGCTAGGCAGTGTGCATCCCTTCATCAGCAAAGCTATGGAAACCCCTGACATAAGGGCAATTGAGCTAGCCATCAGCAGTCTCAAACAAATGGTATCTCTCTCTGTTGCTTCTTGTAGTTACGACTTGTGCTCTTTCCTACAATGGGGGAAATAACAAAGGCATAACTGCCAACCATTTGTGTAATGGAGGAATGATTCCTAGTTATTTGCATTCAACATTATGTTATAAACTCTTTATTTCTCTAATTTTCTGAATATATCTGTCCTAAAGTATGCATTAAAACTACACATTATATTGTATGCTGTCTGAGGAGACTCCTAATACAGTCAAACCTGCCTATAGCAACCGCCCAAGGGAAACACAAAAGTGGTCTTTGTAGACAGGTTCCTTTGTTGCAGTTCTCTTCTTTTCCTCTCTTCTTGTCTCTTTCTCCAAGCTCTCTATCCTCCTCTCCTCTTTGCCTATCCTTTTCTTCCTTTCTTCCTTTCTCCCATTTATAATGTATAATTGTATTTATGTATTCGGGCGTACCCACTACAAGCTATGCTTTTCGGGTTTCGCGCCTTCTTCCTTGTAATACAAGTTCTTTAATTATATTTATGTTCCTACTTATAATTTGTATGGTTTGGAAGAAAATAAATGTTCATTTGAATGAAATGTTCATTTGAAGTACATGTTTCAATGAGAAACTATTTTCAAGGGGAACAAAAAATGTGGTATTTGTAGACAGGTGGTAACTAAAGCATGTTTGAATGTATTTGTAGTGGAATTTTGGCAGGTTGGTAGAAGAACTAAAAATGTTTTTGAGTAATAGTTATGACAGTACAAGTCAAGCCAGGGCAACTCTCCATTGGAAAGATCATACATACATTTAGAGTGGGACATACAGTGTATTCCCTAAATCTTGAGACATTCCAAAGTTTACAGTGTGAAAGGTAATGAGAATGTTTGGGACATCTTGACAGCCCCGTAATATAGAAGAGACGACATAGATTAAAATACAAGCCTCTTACTTATACTATTCTCTTGTATTTTGTACCTATTCCACTTTCAATCTAAACGTAGGGTGTTTTTCAACCACTCGCCCTTTGACTTTCTCCGTTTATACACTATGTCTCTCTTACTTTCTTTTGCTCTATTCATATGTGTCTTTATCATTGTTTCCAGAGAGCTTTGGTGAGGAATGAAATCTACAGTCATTTCTTTTTCTTCTGTATACCGGTAGTCATCTATAATTTTATTGTTTTTCTTAAATCTGTGTTTATTTATAACTGGGATAGGAGTTGCAGAGAGACATGACTAATTACTCTCAAAGTCTCATTGGATTTGTTATGAAGTTTTGTGAGTATCTTGAATCTTGCATATGTGGGACACCATGTTTAATGTACTGTATGTATTTGTGTTTTTAGAGAGCCTTTGATGATAACGAGGACCTGACAGCTTTGGGATACCATCTATCTCGTCTTCCGGTGGAGCCTCGTATTGGCAAGATGATGCTGTTTGGTGCCATGTTCTGCTGTCTGGATCCTATACTCACCATAGCAGCATCTCTCAGCTGGAAGGATCCATTCTACATTCCTCTGGTAAGTAATGTCCTTTTTTGGAATGTAATACAGTGAAACCTGTCTAGAAAGACCACCCAAGGGAGACAAGAAAAATGATCTTTATAGGCAGGTGGTCTTTACGTACAGGTTCCTATAGTAAATGTTTCAATGAGAAACCAATGTTTCAATGAGAAACCATTTTCAAGGAAAACAAACAAGGTGGTCTTTGTAGACAGGTGGTCTTTCTATGCAGGTGGTCACTAAAGCAAGTTTGACTGTAGTAGTACATTCACTTCTCATGATGAGCTTCAACCAAACTGTTCCTTGGAAGCCATGGTTGTGAAATGAGAGACCAGGGGGGTTGCTTCACAAAGATCCTAAGTTGAACTTATCTCTAATTTGGACTCAACATTTATGGAAAGCCGTTACTTTAAAAGGCATAAAATGTTGAATCAAATCATTTATATTTTCTATTATCAAGGTGATTTCATGTTCTTGATGTGGAATTTATAAAAATTCTAAAATACTTCAAATTACGCTTTGGAATATATTTTATTCTAAGGCTACAAACGACTCTCCATAATTGTTAAGTCCAACTTAGAGTTAAGTTCGACTTAGGATCTTTGTGAAACACTCCCCTGGCTTCTTTAGACACACTGTAAGATCAAAAGGTATGGCTCAGGGTATCATGCTTGGTGAAGACCAAAGTACAGGGTGAAAGGAGAAGAGGAAGGCGAAGGATTAGATGGATAGAAGGTGTGACCAGAGAAACTGAGGAGTCATTATAAAGAGATTGCACACATGTCCATGTACTTGCACAGGACAGAGTAGCCTGGGGAGGGTTCGCCCATGGTGTCACCGGGAGCCCGGGATGACTCGATGGCACCTAACAACAGCAATGAAAGTCTTTGAATACATAATAGGATTAGTATGCATTGCTGTATTAAACATCCGTTACATATTAAACCCCGCAAATGGAATGTCCTCAAAGTGAATGTAAACATTGTAGTGGCTTTGTTTAAAGCCCGTCTGCACTAGTTTTGCCGGGAGGGATTAGATCTTCCAACATGGTCACTGACAGGTGGTTCATCAACTCAGCTCTCAATTAACATAAGAAAAGGGGGATCATGGGGGACCAACGGGTACCGCTTAGGCATTGTTTGCTATATAGAGGGCGCCAGTAGCTTCACGTAATAATAATAATAATAGTGGGTTCTTGTATAGCGCTCATGTCAGTCAGATTTGACCCTCCTGGCGCTCCCGATTATTACCCTGGCTTTAGCACGGCTGCCATACGGCGCTCTAGCATTTCAAGGAATAAATTCCTACCAGGTACCCATTTACTTCACCTGGGTGGAGTGTGGCAAATGTAGATCAATGTCTTGCCAAAGGACATTAGTGCAGTAGGGCTCTACATTATGAAGAAAACAATGATTCCATTCTATCTTAGATTTCCGTGATATTCTAGATTATACCATTTAAGTGTATCAAATGCTATAACCATTCTAAAGATTTCCTTTACACTATAGACTACTTTTTATCATATGATATGATGGTAGTTGGACTTCTTATAAGGTTGCTTTATTAAAAGGAACCAACATGTAACACCACCTCTTAAAGTGCATCTGGCTAATGAACTTTCATCCATCATCTATCTGGGATCTAGCTATCTGGGCAGGCGTACACCATAAGTAGTAAATTGGACACCATTATGTACCTTCCACACATTGCACGTACTGTAGTTATAAAGATCATAGGTATAGGAATGATGACTAATGATCTGCCAATTGCATCTCTTGGTTCCAAAGCCGTAGTTTTCATGTCCTACAACCTTTCACTATTTGAATTGTTTTCCGCTATTACTAGGGTAAGGAGAAGCTCGCTGATGAGAGGCGTAGGGTGCTCTCCAACAACACTCGCAGTGATCACCTGATGTTAGCTAATGCTATGAGTGGCTGGGAGGACGCTAAGGAACACAGAGGAGAGGGATCCTACTGCTGGCAAAACTTCATGTCTTCAAACATCCTCGGTGTAAGCCTCCCTTCCTCTTCACCTACATGTAGTTGTGTGATTGTTTTGAAATTCACTATCTATCTATCTATCTATCAGGCTATAGTTCATCCAGACGTTGGACAAAGCCCTCCTCATAACATTTCCATTCTCTTCTGTCTCTAGCTGTCCTAGCGGCCGTTCCCATGTATGATGTTAGGTCATCTCTCCATCTTCTCTTCTGCCTTCCTCTCCTTCTCTTTCCCATCCTTGGTTGCCATTCTGTTAAGCGATTTGTCCATCTTTTGTCCTGAAGTTTAGCTACATGCCCAGCCCATCTCCACTGAAATTCACATTTGTTATTAATTATGATTTCTGGCAGTGAAATTGCATTTCATGCAAAACAGCCCTAATTCTAAATTATGAATGAATAGAGGATCTGGCAGTAGTACTTATAGAACAGTATGGCTTTAACACTATTAAACTTCAAGTCAATTTCTGTCTCTCATACAGATGCTGAGTAAGATGAAGGGTCAATTCTGTGATGTCCTGCATCGTTTGAGGTTTGTCTCCGACAGATCACCCAAACACATTGATGCAAATAGAAATTCAGGTAGGTGAATATTTTTTTATTAATCTATGTGTTAATGTTGTTACATTAATTGTTTAAAATTTCCTTTTTTTCCTATTGATACAATATCTCTTTTTTTCTCTCTCTCTCTCCTCTGTTACTCTTCATATATTGTAGATTTACCATTTTTTCTAGCTGTTTGTGTCTTTCTCTCTTCACTTCTTTCTTCAAAACATCTCTGTGATATATTTTCAGTCTCACTTAGACCTATTTTTGTTTCCTCAATCTATTCCTTATAAAGTCTCTGGTTTGCCCTTCGATATCTGGAAAACGCTTAGAGATGGTAACAAACTGATGCACTATTGCCCTTTGATATCTGTATAGCGCTGAGAGACGGTATTCTGTACTAATAGCTAAATAAATCAAGATTTATCATTATTAGTACGATTTTTGCTCCTTTTAAATCTCAATAGATCAGTTGTAGAGCAGTGACCTTGTAATCATAAACTCTGGTTTAAAACCAAACTGATGCACTTATGAGCTTTAATAAGGCGTGAATCTTAAATTGCTTACCTAGTCCTTCTGTTGGACTTTGAGTTGTAGGTCATCCACAGGTTGCCCATTTATGAGGGCTCCTTCAGATATAACGTGGTAACCCACCTTAACAAAATCCCAATTTTTTAAAAAACATGTAAAAGAATGGCAACTGCACAACAAAGGTCCTATGTGTATTCACTTATCTCTGTGATATAAGATCAAGAAATGTGACTCGTATTACACTTTACGTCGGCACAAAAAAAACATGCAGTTTTGGTGCGTCATATCTGAACAAGGCTATTATAATCACTCTAAATCAGTGGATTTGTTGTTTAGAGAATGAGCAGCTTTTGAAGGCAGTGTTGTGTGCCGGTCTCTACCCAAAGGTTGCCCACGTAGATAAGGTGCCTTTCAATCGAAAGACGGGACAGAATAGGTAAGTCTAACTTAATGTACCATCTCTCATGTCATTTAATTTTAAAAAAATCATCAAAAGTGTATGACACTTACACATACTTTGTGTTATGTGTGTTAGAATAGAGATTTTGAGACCATAGTTTAGGCTTTTTTGTGTACAAAATAGCTTATTCTAGGTGATTTTTAGGCCCTCTGATCAATTCTAACTGGCATCCCTGTTTAATACATGTACATGTATCAGGCTGGTGCCAATTCATTTGGCCACATCATTGTAGGTTGTTTACATCATGGTATATGAATAAGGATTGAATATAGCGATGAGAGACTCCACACTGCTAACAAATGTAATATGCTTAGCAATTTGTGCCTAGTAGCTCTTGCTGGAATGCTCCCCATAGAGAAGCAATAATATTATTATTTGTTATTATTATTTATCTCCTTTCAGACCTCCAAGGCTGAGCACCCCAGAGGATGGTCGAGTTCAAATCCACCCTAAGTCTGTCAATGCAAATGAAACAACCTTCAGCAGTAAATGGCTGCTCTACCATCTCAAACTCAAGTCAACAAGTGTAAGTTTGCCCACTCCATCTTGTAGGTGAGGTGTAGCTTCAAGGAGACTCTGTAATGAATCACTGTAATGATCATTTGATCATTTGATAAGTGTGAAAATAGGGAGCATTGTAATGACATCCAATTTGAGTTAAATGCGATGGACAGGAGGGGTAAAGTCAAATGGGTCAAAACCAGATCTAATTTTTAATTACTTGACATTAATGAACTTTCAAAGCTACTCGATGAAAACTAATATTCAATTTTGGTCTATAGGGGCAGAGATGAAAACATTTTGTTAGAGTTCAAGACCATGACCATCACTACATATTACCCTTAACATACTTTTGGACGCACAGCAGTGATGCATAGAAATCGCATTAAAATTTATTTTGTTGAATGTATTTGATACCACATGATCGATAATTTCTTTAGTGATTGGCATGATTTTGGCAGCACAAAATATTCTTGCTGTTCTTACTTGGAATACTAAAAGAGTAAGACTTTCTATTCCTTGAATTGGTCTGTAAAGTATAGATGTGTACCTCTTGATTCTGAAAATCCTTTCGTGTTGCCAATTTACTGCACAGGTCTTCCTCCATGACACTACCATGGTTGAGCCTTATCCCTTGATCTTCTGCGGTGGTAAGATCTCTTGGGACGATGACCAGGGCCATGAAACGGTCTTCGTTGATGACCACATCAAGTTTCACTGCTCTCAGGAGACGGCACATCTTGTCATTGTAAGTCACAGAAGCAACAGTTCTATATTAAACATAAGTACTTACACACTTAAGTACTTACACACTTAAGGTTTACAGTTAATAATAATAATAATAATAATGATAATAATAATAATAATACATTGCTTTTATAGTGCATAGCACTGCAGTAGCATCTCTATGCGCTTCAGATATACAAATAAAAAATACAATTATCTAAAGATTCCTGCTACAGGAATGGGCATATTTCACCATTCAAATATAGTTCAGGGTAGGAAAGCTTTTTTTTAATAAATTGCAACCAAAAGAGCAACCTACAAACAAACCATCAAACAACATGTTAAACAATAAACAATTAAAATCAAGACTTGATTAGCTGAAATTGACAGGAGCAGAATTACATAATTTCAAACTCCAGTTGCTATCATAGTAAATCACTCAATACACAAGTGTGTCTATGGCTATGAAATTTAAACAGTGAATGAAGTAGAGAATCAATAGTGGCCACTTCCTCCTTTTGGAGCTATGACATATTTCCTTCTCTGGATAGGGACAGTAATCTGCATGTGAATGATCCTGTTTAGTCCAGGCTTTAACCCTGCTTCAGTGGATAGAAATAGCCCTGTGATACCAAGTGTCAGCCTGTTTGTCCTGCTTAAATTAAGTAACTAATGACAAAACAAAATTACATCATTTCAAAATTATAATCTTGTTTAATCTAATTTGGTTATGAATTCTGTGACAGAATAACAGTAATTGGTAAGGAGTAGAGAGGTTGACATTGGGTTATCTCTAAGACAGTGGACTACGTTGAACAAGGGTTTAGCTAATCCTGCCTTTTTATACATAGGCGGTTGGAATCAATTTGGTGTATTTAATCATCATGGGTTTTGCAGTATTCTTTTCAAGATCTTTTTGTGTTCAATTTATTGAAAATCATTGTAAAAAAACTTTAGAAACGTGATGATGTAAAAACTGTGAAAGGAACTGTGTAGAGTCCTTGAGTATCTTCTGTCTGTTCCGTGTCTTTCCTATGTTTTGTAGAAGTTACGTGAGGAGCTAGACAGAGTCATGGAACAGAAGATCACCAACCCAGGACCCACCAACTGGAGTCCGGCAAGCCATGAAGGCAGAGTCATGAGGGCCATCATCGACATCCTCGTCATGCAGTCCAGAGATACCTACGATAACGATGATGATCAGGGATTCGTACACAGCGGTAGGGGCAATAACAGGCACGGTGGTAATGATGATGATGATGATGACTGTTATGATGATGGAGCTGGTGGGGCTGGTGGTGGCCGACAATATGGACGGTCCGGAAATAGGTACAATAATGATGACAGGCCTGGAAGCAGTCATTGGAGACCAGACTCGCATCGTAGGAGAATTCAAGGAAACCAACACCAAGGTTTCTGGACTCAGAAGTAATGTTGCTTGATAATTGAGGTTGACATCGGAGTTCTCATCCTGGAAATCTTCATATTGAACTCTAAATTCATGAAACACGTACAGTTCGGATTCTCATCATAGCCATAATAGATGAAACCTATTTACTGGAGTCAATATTGAAGGCATATGTAACTAACATTCACATCAAAAGGAGACAATCAGGAAACCCTGATCAGTGACAGTGGACTCAGTTGATGACGCATGTAAATCAGGCTCACATTGCAATTAACATTGAGGAATTACTCACGTCCTGGACCCTCAATTTATGACACATGATTAAGTGATATTCACAATATAGGAGAGATTAAGGAAACCACGTATTGTAGCCTTATCTGCAGTACATACTCGTACAACTCACAACATTGAAGACATTAATGAAAGTAACTGGGGTACTGAGTTTCTGACCAAAGAATGAGATGGTGCTTAATGCTAAAACTCTAGATTTATGATGATGTTTGTGGAAATTAGTTTCATTGTCTTAACTGGTTTCGATGAACACCATCATTTATACCCTGTACCTACATGTAAATGTAGAGTACCTTACAAAAGTGACCTACGGTATTCCAATGCAATTTTTCACATACCTGGTAGGTCGATCTATTTTCTTTGAAAATCTACATTGTATTGTAGCCTTTGAATACACTACAGAATATTGACTTAAGACTGCATGCAAAGGGTGGGCAGCACAATGGCTGAGTGATAGAGCAGCGTCTCTTATAATAAAGTGTTAGCTACTAAAATGGGAGGTCCTGTGTTTGACACCAAGTCCCTTGGATAGCACTTGAAGATGTTGGTCTCCTGGTTCCTTAGTTACAAGCATACACATGCCTTCTTAACAATCAGGTAAAAAAAACATCTGTTGAACCAAACCAAACCAATAGTGAAACAGTCTTCGTTGATGACCACATCAAGTTTCACTGCTCTCAGGAGACTGCACATCCCATCATTATAAGTCACAACAGCAACAGTTTTATAAAATAAGAAATTTTGCATGCAGGAAATAAAATGATTGAATTATACAGTTGAGGTTTACGTTTGATAATAATAACATTAATACGACAGTGCTTTTATAGTGCATATGACTGCTGTAACTCGAAGGTCCAGGATTTGAAACCAATTCAATGAGCAGGTGCTTTTTGGTAAGGCATTAACTCTCATCACCAAGTCCCTATGAGAGCACTTGAATATGTTGGTATCCTTGTTCCTTAGATACAAGCATACACATGCCTTCTTAGCGGTGAAGAAAAACCTTCAATCAAATCAAACCAAAGTAATACTCCCTTCTGTGGAGTACTTAAATGCAACACTATGACAACCTCATTTCAATTATTTATCCAGTTGTATTTATCTCAACCTTCCCAATAGATTTGTTTTTTTCCACTATCTTTATTGGCTGCGTATAGTTTTAAAACTATTTTCAGTTTGGTTTCCTTTTTTATAATACAACTTATTGTATTTTTTTGCAAAAACACCTTTTGATAAAAGGGAATCTTTTGTGTTCTGTGGTTGTATGATTATCGTTGGTGTTATTTTTTAAACTTCTTTTTAGCTTTAATAACCTGTGTTTACAATGAACTGACATTGTTACATTCAGATTTGGAGAAGATATCGTCTGTTTGGAGCAGGAAGGGAATTGATGCTGTATAACCTGGTATGAGTTAATTCCCTTCTGGCTCCGAACAGACAGAACATTTGATGTTTATACCAGATTTGTGTACATTTTCATTTATTTTCCACTAGACCTTCTCATTCTGAATGGAAATAAGTTTCACTTTCAATATGATATATATTTGTTTTCATTAAGGTTTCATTTCTACATTAACTGCATATGAAAAGAATGTACAAAGTAACAAAACATATAAATATATTCGATAAATAGGTGGTATTAAAACAATAAAAACGATGTTATGCATGCCATTAAATACAAAGGATGCTTACCTAATCTGCAATAATGAGGAGAAAACCTTGGAAGCATTATGCTTGTGAATAAGGTTCCCTTTACATTATACGTTTGTTATATATCATGGAATCAACAGCAATACAAAACTAAATATTTACCAAAATGCTCAGAAGTGCTCTGAAGTGCCCAGCTTCAAGTGTATGTCGCCCTCAATTAGCATGCTAAAAAACAGAACGAAGTGACTGAGAGAGAGAGGTAACAGGCCTATAACATGTATTGTTACGGACAATGCCTCACCTACTCTTTTACATCTGTAGTGATCACGGGCGTAAATCTGCAATTAATACCTATTGTTCAGGGGGCGGGGGGGGGGGGGGGGAATGATCTATTTATTCATCCCCCCCCTGAACAATAGGTATTACGTAAGGATTTACGCCCATGGTAGTGATACTATTATACAAATGTTGACTGATTTAAGGGGCACAGTTAAAATTACACCCCATTGTGATCTAGAAGCTGTACTGTACACAGAGAAGAAGTTGAATGGTATATAGTGTTGGCTTGAGATCACCGAGGAGTTATATTTTTAACTTTGACCCAACAATTCAGCAGCCATTAATTGTTTTTTATACATCCGACTTTTTGATTCCCAAAAAGGAGAATTTTCCACTAGACCTTCTCATTCTGAATGGAAATAAGTTTCACTTTCAATATGATATATATTTGTTTTCATTAAGGTTTTATTTCTACATTAACTGCATATGAAAAGAATGTACAATGTAACAAAACATATAAATATAATCGACAAAGAGAAAACCTTGGAAGCATTATGCTTGTGAATAAGGTTCCCTTTACATTATACGTCTATTATATATCATGGAATCAACAGCAATACAAAACGAAATATTTACCATATGCTCAGAAGTGCTCTGTAGTGCCCAGCTTCAAGTGTATGTCGCCCTCATTTAGCATGCTAAAAAACAGAACGAAGCCACTAACTGTTTTTTATGCATCCGACTTTTTGATTCCCAAAAAGGAGAATTTTGACAAAATATCCTATTAAAAATGTATGGAAATTGCACATAAATACTGCGTGCATCTATTGTTATCTTTATGCGCATCAAGGCATTCTTGCATTGTACATGCCAGTGGAACTATGCCTAGTCAATATTTTGTGTTTAAATACCTCTCTTTAGAAATCCAGAGTTTTGGGGAACTAGAGATAGATGCCATGTGTTGCGTCTGGCCAGATGAAAGGGGCTACCTGTAGATTTATACATGTTGTGGTGCATCCGGGGGGGGGGGGTGGAAGCATCGTGGGATGATTAAATATTGCCATGGCTGCATCAAGGTCCCCTGTTTCAAGGTATTGTGCTAGCATGGTGATATCTGGAATAAGAAAGAATGAAATCTATATATTACATCTTTCTGATATGAAGATTTGGGGGTATGAGTTACAGGTTAATGCTAGTGTTGGACAATAATTAAAAGATTAAGGTGTTAGCAAAATCAACAGGTACAATTACTTTGGCTACATGCAGTGTTTGTTGAAGGCATGCTGAAGGGATTTTAATGTAGGCCTACTGGTACATGTCTTGAACTGTTTTGATGTTGCACATAATTTTGTGTAATGTTCCTGTGCTTGGAGGATGACTGTTGTTGATGAAGGATTCTGGTGGTGAGAGGATGCATTACCCATACGGGGAATACATCCTCTCACCTACTGATTTTGATGTTGGAAGTGAATGTTGGGATAGTGTCTGTACTCACATTGGCTGGAGTTGTTCGATACGGAGTGCCATTCCAGGGAATAAAAATACAGAAGTTTCTTTTTTATCATAAACCTACTCGTAGATTTCATGTTTTGATCGACAAATTGAGGACCTGAAATAATTGTGGACGGTAATGGTAATAGGGCCCCCGTCATACGAGATGAACACGTATGCCCACGCATGGTATTACCGGACACTATTGAATTACGACTACACGTATCGAATGTGCAAGTCGAGTGGGGTGATCAAGAAATGTATGACGCATCGTAAGAACACAAAAAAAAACTTAGAAAATTTACACATCTAACTTAGCCTAACGTATGAGTGACAAATACATGCCTTTTTCATGAAATAATCCAATTTTCCTAATGCCCGTGCAAAGTGAATGGCTGTCAAGTTTGTTTTGAGAATGTCATTTTGCTATTTGTTTTCCGTGCATTTTCTTCTCGCGCGACTCGCGACTTTTGCGTTTCGCCATAGACATAACACGGTGTCCGGCAATAATGCAGGTCGATTTTCAGCGCCGCGAAATAAGAATCGTAACATGCTAAATAATCTGGTCAAGTTGACGCGATTTCTACATTTACACTTTTGCGTAGCGAATAATGATTCGAGTAGTGTAAAATCTAAACAGTTATCGCTCAAATTTTCTATCAATTTGAAGAAAAAAAAATCACATTTTCACTTACCCATCATTGATGCCATTTGCCTCATGATCATCTTGAACTTTGAACTTTGTTTGGGTGACATTTCCGAGCATCCGAATGCTTCCGAAGACGTTGCTTCCAAGACCTATGATGCCGAAGATGACGTTCTGTGTGACGTCACAGGTCTACTAAATAAAATAATAAAATTCACTTTTTGGCTCAGATATATACTGTTTCGTATGTTTTTCAGCGTTTTAACCCTCTTCAAACCATTCTAAGGCGTATATGCGATACAATGTCAAAATGTTGGCTACAACATACATATCTGGGGCATTTTAGGTCATTACCAGGTATTTTACTACGAAAGTAATTGAGAGTGTTCCGTTAAAGCATTAGTCGTGTGGTGCGCCACCTACCGGTGGTTCCGGGAACATTGCGTCTAGCCATCTGATTGGTCGGAATTGGAGTCGTGCATGCCCGCCTACCAGTCATTAATTTTTGTTAAATGCCCGCATGCCCCAGTTAACGGGCCGCATGATTAAATTCTGCAAAGACCCCCTTTGGTTTACGTGTATAACGTTTCTTTGTGCGAGCGCGGATACCATACAGTGTGTGTGCGATTTCCGAATGATCGTAACATTCAGGCAAATTTCCAGCGAAGATTAACAGTGTCTCAGATTTTCTGTGATTTTTTAGCCAATCTTTTCTCAAGAAAAGAATAAGGCAAGAGTTATTTGTAGATTTTTTTGTGTGAAATCGGTATATAAAAGAAATATGGACTACTTTAATATTCGAGGCATAGCTGTTTCTAAACCGGCTCTCGGGGATGTTGCATCCTTGGTGTCTAATTAATATCTTTTCACACTAATGAATTCATTTGCATATCTATAGTTTCCAAGCAAAAAGTGAATGTGGTGTTGTTGTTTTTTGTTCAATGTACTGCAAATATTTGGAGACAACCATTGCACCAATTCCAAAATGAAAAATAATAATTTCTTCCAATGGGATAGGAGCAAGTTTACTTTGCGGCTCAAATTTCTATAAGTTGTAAGTGATATGTCGAACATTCTAACCAGTCAATAAAAGATTACAATGAATTAAAGCAAAAGAACAAAATAACGTTATGAATATACCTCGTTAGTATTCTCTATATAAAAGATGAATTAACTTTAATATTTACTTCGTTGTGTTGTCTCATTATTCAATAAATAGTATAGTATTAATGACTGCTTTGAGAGAAATAGTTGTTTTTATACGCTCAAGGGAAGGTTACAATTGTGCTATTGCCAGGGCAATAGCACAATTGTAACCTTCCCTTGAGCGTATAAAACAACTATTTCTCGAATATTAAAGCAGTCTTTAATACTTTTATATACCGACAAAGAAAAGAGTCAACTTATGACACCACCTTGGCCTTTCTCTAGTTTATCTGCACGGAGCTACGGTAGCTATTGGACGTTCGAAAAGAAAAAAATAATGTTCATCAATTAAAACCAAGATGGCTGACAACGGAGTTAGTTGACTACGAGACTTTCTCGGATTAATCATTAATTTAGGATCTAAATGAGCAAGCTATCGTAAGTCAAATAAGCTATATAGACTTATATGTTATTTCTATTTTTTTAATATAGATCTAGACTCTAATTATTGCAATATCCCAGCATTTATGAGGATGTAAAGAGTGAAAATCTTGTTGCATATCTCATTCATCGCGGTCCGACCGAACCGAACCATTTGTTCCGTACAGTCCCCATATGACGAACTTCAGTCTCTATAATCGGAGGCCTAGTGGAGTCAGACGTAGTCTCAGTTGAACAACCGACGATTAGAGAGACTGAAGCTTTTCGTCTATACTTGACCTACTTACTAGAATCTAGGCCTACTAGATCTATTTTGAAAAAAAAATTATGGAAAATTTGACGTATCCTTTTTGGTGTTCTTACTGTCAGCAAGTCTTGCATTTAAACATCATCCAGAAGTTGAAATCTTGGGAGAGTTTCTTCAGCCATTTTTGCCTTCGTTTGGAATTTAGTACGATCGAGATTGCCGTACTGAAATTATCGACCAATTCTTCGCACACGTACGGTATCCTCGATCGCTCAAACCAGTTTTTAACCTGTGAACCTATGGGTATTTCACCAAGACTGAACTATTTTCCTGGTAACCATGGTAACTGGAATTTTACCGGGAATTTTACAGGAATAGTTAAAGTTTATGACTGCAATTTCGACCAATCAGATGGCTGGATTTCTTAAGTTAGGTATATAATTGTATTACATCAGGTCATTTTTTTCCCCTAAGATATTATGGATGTTATTTTACAATTATATTATCTTGTATAAATAATTATTATAATTATTTATACTAGATAATTATTGAATGGGCATCCATGTTATATAGGAAATCGTAGAGTTTCTATTCGTAGAGTAAAGGCTTTGTGTAGGTTGAAGCTAGTTTTACTCATTGTGTTTGGGTGAGCCCTACAAGTCAACATTTATAAATTCATGTATTATTAATTATCTAAATCTAGAGACTATATTTCTATTATAGCATTGTTAAAATTAGGGCGATAAAGATGGTAAATTAATAACGAAATGAATTCAGTGAGAACTTGCTCGACATCAGTGCGTTTGCAGGTGTTTGCCTGGCAGGGGTTGGTAATTAAGACCATCCCATTACCACCTTGAAAAAGAAGAAGATATGTATGGGGAATGCATGAATATCAACCATCCTCTGGTGTCAATACCCATTGGTTATGTGTGCTAGAGAGGGTTGAGTTTTGGGAATGTTCAGAATCTAAAAAAAAAATCTTATCATGGAATGTGACAAAAGTATGATATATGACAAGATTTTAGAGTCCCCTTCATAACAATTGAACCTAAAACTGCCCAAAACCCATTTTTGCCAGAAAATATGATTCAAGATGGCCCACTATCAGTACC